ACGTCGTAAAACTTTCAGATGATAAAATCTTTACAAAATATTTCCGTACATAACGAGTCCAAGTTCAAAAAAAAAGTTGAGCAAATTTAGAAAGTGAGGTAAAATTATTTCGGTCAACATGGCTTAAGGGTTTTTATTGATCCGTATTTTATATCAGGCAGTTTTCGATACGGTAATTATATTTTATTTCGAATAATTAACACTGCAATTGTAAGTACTAAATATTTAATATGCAACTTATAATTCTAAAGATTTATTCTTCTTTCGAAAAATTTTAAAATCTATATCTATACTAATTGATAAAGCTGAACAGTTGTGTGTTTGTTTGTTTGAAAGCACGAATCCCAGGAACTAATAGTTCGAATTGAAAAATATTTTTGTATTGATTAGAACATGTATCGTTAAAGGTTATAAAACATCGCTCTGTCACTAATAGGAGCAACAATTTTCTACTTTTTATCTGTAGACGGCGCTTTGTAGTCCGGACGGATTTTAGAAAATCCTACCCATTTTTTACCCAGATTTCATAGACAAAGTGTATCATGTTTCAGAAATATTACTCTTACCACCACTAAGACCAAGAAACCCGTCAAACTTTCATGATTAACCTAAACGGTTTAAAACGCGATATATATTAGTAAAACTAGTTATTTGAAAATTATTTTAAGTATGACCCGACGCTTCGGATGATTAGCAGCAACTAATATATATCGCGGTTTAAACCAAAGTGTTTTATTTAAATGTGTACTACTCGCGTAAACTACAGACGATATTTTATTTAGAATAGTTTTCAACACTTTGAATTCTAAAATCGCCAGCTAATCTCAAGTAGATTGAACCTAGATGCCACCTACAAAAAACAACAATAAAACAAAAGAACAATGACACGTAAACTCGAATTCGCAGTTCCTGAGTTTAAAAGAGGGTTTAAGGCCAAGTTTACCACTGCGGTATTATAGCAGTGAAAGTTAATATGTCGATTCATATAATTCGTCTTGTCACTCATTTAAGAGATGAAATTCACAATCACTCCGCTCACGACAAAGCTCGATTTATTTTTATTCGCCACAGATTCAATTACTCGCGTTTGAAATAATTACAGACTGCCGTCGGCTTCGTTTTGTATAACAATATGACCGCGGCACCAGTCGTACTTATGTTGAGAATGATTGTACGTCGCTAGCGGCTAACAAAGCAATTGGTAAAAGAAATTTCAGAGTTACATATAAAACCTAGTTTTGTATTCCCTTTAAAAGTTAAGTGTTTACATGAAAAATACATTTACGTTTCAAAGTAGTACCTCCACTTTAAATATATTTATATATATCCCTAATCCTTATTAATATTTATAAAGTGTCAGCCGCGTCTCGTCGTTCGTGCAAGTTAATTTTAAGAGATCGACATATACTATCGCGGATATTCAATTTGGTCATTTAAAGAGAAATTATTCTTTCAAAGATATGTTTTGGTATCTTAAACCGTTTTCGCAACGTACGCGGAAATCCACGCGAATTTTCTCCGATTTCACTTTTCCCGCCTAGAGACAGCCTTTCAATTCGAATCAGTAGTTCGGGATTAGCGCGTTGAAACAAAAAAACAAATTCGAGACATTAATAGCTAAAAATTTGAATTTAGAACCTTCAATTTACTAAAATATTTCACTTTTAAGTACAGTGTTTAAAACAAGTAAATGTAAATAAGAATTGGAGTATGTTTCATAAGTAATATTGTTTATCATTTTCACTGACTCTTAACTGGGTGTTGTTAACGAAAGTAAAGGTAATAATCGTACAATATATATTATAATACGATAAATCTATACATCGTTCTTAAGTAAGTGTTAATTTACTCGTCCAAGAAAGTTATAAATTGTTTTTTAATGACTGCGCTTTTTTATGAATAATATAGGTTATTGTGTTAATACAAACGCTAAATCCATTACAGTGAGAATAATATTATATGATTATTTTGATTGTATCTTACATTCGCTGATATTGATCCATTAGGCTTTATTAGGGTTGACACTTGACTGAAAAATAGTACATAGGCATATTATAGCGTTCTTATAGCTTTTGCTATTTATTTCTTTTAACACTTTTCTTGCTACACAACCCTTGAAACATTCCTTCCGACCTTAAATGCTTGCAAGCTATAAAGGAGAAAATTTATGATAAATTAAATAAGTTTTTGTTCAACAGAAGTGACCCATAGGAATTTCCGTCATTCGTATACCATACTTTTGATTTTATAGAAGAGATACGTAGTTCTTTTCGTTCTAGATGTTTCCAACGTTTCTTCATTACGATAGAATTAGTTTTAGTACAGTTTTAGTCTTCGCTTAGCCGATAAAGAACGTGAAAGAAGGTGAAACCTCTAGAGCCAATCAATCATGACGTCTAAACAGATAAAAAAACTAAATAACTAATATTTCTTATTACTGTAATATATAGATAAATCATTGATATCAAAAGCGAAAGAAGCTCGGTTTTGTTTTTGCAAACCTCTACATCTTTATAAATTTAGGCTGCCCACGAAATCGGTCGCGTCCCGTCGCTGGCGACCCTTAGTTCTGGTCCCGTCGTTCTTGCAAGTTTATCTTTTAAGATAGACCTATAGTATCACGGACTTATTTTTAGACCATTTAAAGAAAAATCATTCTTTCATACATTTTTTTTGGTTTTCCCGTTTTTTCGGCATTTCCCGCTTTATCTTCGCTTCTATTAGTCACAGCGATATGTTTTATAGCCTATAGCCTATCTCAGTAAATTTGTCAATTCAAACCAGTAGTTCCTGAGGTTAGCGCGTTCAAACAAATAAACTCTTCAGCTTTATATATTAGTATTGATATGGCTGGGGTACAAGTGAGATAAGCATGGGGCTGCTTATATGTTCTTCTCTATCATTAAAAAAATTACAAACACTTCACTTGGCTTCAAAGATTTGATAATCAGGAATTGATGCCACAGATCTTTAATTAAATTGCAACTCGCGACGCGGCCGCTTAGCTGTTTCACTTCATTTTCACACCTTTTATTTGGTGCTATGTTTTGTTCGAGTTTCGTTCTCTCCGGCGAACTGGGTCGTGCGTCCGAACACTGATAATAACACTTTTACTTCGAGAGATCGATTATTAATACCAATTTTACTGTACATTGGCTAACGAAAATAACTATACCGTAATTTGAGTTCTAATAAATACTATTGCTTTTAACGATTACGCTAAAAGTAAAAGGCCGACAGTAAAATATTTAAACGAAATCAGAGAATGTTTTTAATCAAGAATCTCTCAAATGTTATGCTGTTTTTGTGACAAGCTCAACATTTATAGATATTGTTTGTTAAATAAACACTAAATGAAATACTGTCTATAGTTTACGCGAGTAGTACACATTTAAATAAAACACTTTGACGGTTTAAAACGCGATATATTAGCTAAACTTATTTGAAAATTATTTTAATAACGGCCCGACGTTTTGAATGCTTTCAAATCAACCAAAGCGTTAACTACCATCCGGTTTTTCAGGTGCTTTTACGCAGCCGCGATCACAGGTAAGATAAAGATGGTGGAGTCATATCTGTTAACTTTACAAGGGGCTGAAAATAAACTAATATCTCACGTCTATCGCGTCCTAAACTGTTAAAAATGTTTTAATAATTAAATAACGACAGTAAATACCGTCTGTAGTTTCCGTGAGTAGTACACACTTAAATAAAACGCTTTAACGGTTTAAAACGCGATATAAATTAGTTAAACCTGTTTGAAAACGGCCTTGAGACTTCCCTGTGACCACGGCTGCTGCAAAGCATCCAAAACGTTGTATTCGCGTTAAGGTGTTTTATTTAAATGTGTACTACTCGCGTAAACTACAGACAGTATTTAAAAGAACTACAGTATTTATGTGTATATATACAACTGTTATGTTTTTTTTAATTCACTTCTATGATCTATTAATGACTCTTTGTTTAAACTCCTTAAAACTATAATCTATGTAGGTTTAAAATACCCACTAAAACCTTAAAACTAGCGTGAATCGAATATACTATTTAATTTTACTTGGTACTTTTACCATTCAATATTGTACAATTGGGAACTGGTAGAGACTTTAATTTTTATCTGTACGGTATATAAGTGTACATCATCACTAGCTATCTACATGAATAAATTATATTTGTCCTTCTACACATTTCCCACTGTCTCATCAAATAGAACTATCTAATCGGTTGCTTTAATTCAAACGACACATGTTTAACAAATTGCGCGGTGCATATTAAGCTTAATAGTCTTGTAACGGTGGCAACTGTAAAACTTACCACGGACCGCGAGGCGCGTGCTAAATTTGCCGAAACACCGTGATCGCTAGCGGGAAATTCTTTAATAACTCTAATGCGTATTTAAATAGTTAACCTGGAAAGATCAATATTTATTCGCTCGTAACTCTGACAAGATGGCGTCATAGTTATGCGACAAATGACAGTTATGGGATCTTAGCGAAGGGCATTGGGAAAACTAAACTTAGTTTTTTTTAACTTTCATTATAGTTATTAATATTTCATAATTTTTTCTCTGTCTCTCTTTTACGAACTACATCTTACCATATATGTATACTACTTTAATGGTATCCCCCCCCCCATCTTAAAAAATATGTCTTTAAGCTCATATAAAATATATTTAATTTTATGTCAAAAAATACAAGCTATTAAAACATGCATTTTCATTATAAGCTTGGTAAGTAGTAGCTTAGTAAACTTGTTCTTCGACATTCATTTAAACTACTCACAAATTAAACTTTGCTTTGAACATATGGCCAGGCGGAGTCAAGTCAATCATTCCTAGCAATTTAATACTAAACTTTACAATGAAAAACTAACGTGACAACCTACTTTTATCGCGTATGTTTATTAAGTGATTCTCGATGTTTTAAATTAATTATTAGACTCCAAAACTTGACACATTTATAGATCCCCAATTGGGGCTTATTTATATCTTAATCGTTTGAAATATGGGTTCAAAGGCAGTAGCTAGGCGTGAAATAGAGGCGTCTTTAAAACTAAGTTTGTTCGCTACGAATTGTCTAGGCATTTCGTTCACAGATTCGAAAAGCAATCTTAAGCGAATTCTAAGAAATGTATTATTTTTCATAAGTGTCTCCTTTGTCGTAATTCACATTGTCAGCGATGCTATATATATTATTATCGGATTTAGTAATTCTTCTCGGATTGAGAATATAGTGCCATTCTTACACACACAGGGTTACGGGTTACTAAGTAAGTTCTTATATATTTATTAATTCTTTATTGCACAAAATACAAGCGAGGTTTGTGCAAGTGCATTGGATTTACGTTTTTTTATTCTTTTGGCATTAAACAATGTTTCTTCCTTTCTTGTTATCCGTAATAAACTGTAAATTTATATTTTTGAAGGTGCCAGTAAAGCCTCTGTTTTATGGTACAAGAAAACTGTCTTCAAACGGCTTTTGAGGGAGTTAATTGAAATTTGGCCTGTGACTCCAGAAGATATCGAAACTCAGAATGTCAAAGATAAAAGTTTGAAAACGCTGCGCAGTGTCCATGCTTGTACGTTACTTAATCGGAAATATGACAAATAAATACATTTAAGTAGATCACTATTAACGGTTTATAAACGCGGAATGTATTTCAGACTTAATTACAATTTTCTCTCAGTGACCACGGCTGTGTTTTATTTAAATATTTACTTAATTTAGTTAATAAAACACATTTAACGGTTAAAAGCCAAAATATGGTGTTAAAGATGCTTAGTTGACAACGTGGTGATGTGGTTACGAAGTACATTTCCCCTTTTAAACCGTTAAAAGTGTATAAAAATATGTGTACTACTAACGTAAATAACAGGCGATTTTATTTATCATAAAATAGTACCATAATTTGTGGAATGGAAATTCAGTAAGCAAAAAAATGTTTAGAGTTTTTTTTCCTGGTCTACTGCTTGCTTGACAAGATATATGATTTCCATTATTTACAGGGTATTTTGCAGCTAACTTCATCGGTGTGTGGTTTTACAATTTAACACCGATTTGCGTTTATTTTTATCGCCTTCTACGCAGTGAGGAATCGCAGCTAGGATTTATTTGGTCATCTTGGTATCCGTTTGATAAAACGAAGCCTCTCGCTCACGCGTTTGTTTTAATATTTGAAATTCTTATGGGTTTGTATTCATTATATTTTATTTTACTATTTAAGCCGCTATTGGCCCGTCTAACTGCCCTCTCTAGGGGAAGGGGAAAGGGACATCGTTATCTTTTATAATACATAAAGTTACTTATTTTTTCACAAATAAGAAACTCTGAAATGACAATTTATTTTTCATTTAATTGAGCAAATTTTAGTTAGATTATTAGATAAAGTGAAATATAAAACATTTAATGAAATAGTCTATATTTTTATGACAAATGAGGACAACAGAAAAGAGGTTTACTAGATTTAATTAAGATACGCTGTTAAGATATTTCTGCTTTAGACATACGACAATTTTCGCGAACTTAAACCGGAAACGCGGATCTATATAACTATTTTTCAGCACTAGATCGTTCCCGACCCGGACTGAATTTCCATATTCTTACCAAGTTCCAGACGAAGTTTAACATGCTTATAAAATTCACATACAATGATTAACGCACATATTGAACCCAGTGGCAATCGAACCCCCAACCCATTACCATTGGTAAAATACCACAGAACAATATTATTATTATAATAGAATGATTGGCGTCATATTATATTTACCTCCACCCTCGCACTCTCGTGTTCTTAGAATTTAGTTCTTACATCGATATTTTAAAATTAAAAGTTGGTATTATTCCTTTTATCTAAATTGTAGGTTAACACGACATTATACGGTAGAACGCTGTAATTATTTAAATGGAGTTTTGTCGTCTCACTGTTATCTGAAAGTAAAAAATGCTCTCCTTTTTCAATTTCAGGTCAAGTGTGTGTATGGGTGACGATAAGTAGCGATCTCTTATTTTCGGGGTTTGCAAGTCACATTGTTTTATTACTTCGCATTCTTCAAGATCGGCTTAAAAACCTCACCGTTACTGGTAAAAGCGAGACAGAGTATCATCAAAGAATTGTGGAATGTATCAAACTTCATCAACGCCTTATAAGGTCAGGTAAAAGTTATATAAAATAAAGAAATAGCATGGTTAAGTTTAAATTAAACTTTAACGGTTGAAAACGTGAAATATAATAGTCACCTTATTTAAATGTGTGCTGTGCTACTCGCGAAAGCTACAGATAATATTTAGCAATGTTATGAACTTTAACGGTTTAGAACATAAAATATATTAGATAATTTATCTGAATTACCTATCAACTGATGACGATACTTCGCACATTTTACTTCGCAGGTTATAGGAAATTATCTTATTAGTTGAAAATAAGGTTCTACATTTCGCGTTAAAACCATTATATTCATTCGGTTATGAATAAAAATAAAAATTTCCTTTGCAGATATTGCAAGGACATTGGTGAAGCATTTTCCTTTGTGAACTTAGTAAATATAGTCCTCAGTTCTATCAATATTTGTTGCGTTGTTTTCACAATATTGGTAAGAAATACGATATATAGACACGTATATGTATATACACACACATACAAAGTTTCAACACATTTTAGAGCAGTGGCGTAGCTATCATAGGGCCAGGTGCAACAGGGCCCTGCAACTTAGAGGCCCTCTCACCTTATCTTTAAAAAGATATAAGCGTAGAAAAAAAGGATATTTAACGTTCCAGTTGTTATTTATGACTTTGGAGGTTCATTTAAATCAAGCTATACTAAAAGAGGAAGTGAGGACCCGATTCTTTCTTGAGCGTTAGGATTAGTTAGACCGGGGCCCTTGTCCACCTAACTACGCTACGACAGTAAAACATATTTTATATCACACACACGTTTTACCAAATACAATATTAAATTATCTATGTATGCAGCTATTTAGAAGGCAAATGGCTGTTGTAATTTAACTTTTTTCTCTCATTACAGCTTTTAGAACCTCTCGTGGCGGTAAGCAATAAACTTTTCCTAATGTCTGCCTTAACTCAAGTGGGTATACTGTGCTGGTACGGCCACGACATTATTCATGCGGTTTGTAATACGAATAAAATTTAAGCACCATATTTTTTAGTCCTGTTTATTACTCGCCTAATCTTTTATGTAGACTTGATGTTTATATATAAATTTTAAAAATGTTGACTTTTGTCAAACGGTTTAACTTGAACAGCTGATCGTACAGACCTGAATCTTGAGAGTATTATTTGAATAACGCAGTACAGGGCCGGATTTAGAGATTCCAGACCTCGAGGCAAAAAGAATATATTTATAGATATTATATTTATTTATTATTTCAGAAACTTAAAAGTGGAGGGCCCTGGACGGCAGCCCCGGATGCCCTGCGCGGCCCTGCCACATGCTACATTATATAATATTTTTACAGAATGCTAACATAGCTACAGCAGTTTACAACAGCGAATGGTATGAGATGGCTCCGCGATGCAGACGATCTTTGCTTTTTATAATACAAAGGTTATTTAAATTACTTTTTAGACAGTTCAGTAAAAGGGAGTTCCTGTTTTCGTCGAAAAAGCTGTTTTTGATTCCTACATATTTTAACTCAGAACCACGTAATCAAGTAGGCTTTCATAGTCTATGCTTAATGATGTATTTCTTATGGTTACAGGGCTCAGAAACCAATTGGGTTCACAGCAATGAATTTTACCTATATATCTCTTGTTACATACGCTGCGGTAAGAACCTATTTAGTATGTGTCGTCAAGTAAAATTGTATCTATCAATTATATTCTGCAGGAAACAGGAGTTTAATATAATAAAAAAATGGCAATAATACATTATAATCTATACTAATATATAAAGCTGAAGAGTTTGTTTGTTTGTTTGAACGCGCTCAGGAAGTACTGGTTCGAATTGAAAAAATATTTTTGTGTTGGTTAGAGGGGTCGCACAGTGGCTAATAGGACCGAAATAACAGCGGGAAATGTGGAAGAAAAGGGGGAAAATTATATATCTATGTGGGTGTCCGAGGCGCACGCTGCAAAAACGGTTTAAGATACCAATATGTATGAAAGAATGATTCCTCTTTGGATGATCTAAAAATTATACTATTTGTCTATCTTATAAGAATATCTTAAGCTTATAAAGATGAAAAAGAAACAAATTTTGTTACCCAAAATGACTATTCTACGCGGACGCAGTCGCTGACACAGCTAGTGCAATATAATTTGATTCTCTTCATAAATAAAATCACAAAACTAAATAATCCTACTCTCTAATTATTAAATAACAACATTAAAGTTATTTGAAAGAAAGACAAATTCGGCGAAATGAGGTGCCCGCGAGCTTATATAGACTTGTCCCCACTACTTCTTATTTCCTCCTTGACGACGTCATCTCAGTATTCTTCTAACAATATAATATAATTTATACCTTATAATTTTCAGATATTAACAAGGTCATATTCTTACTTCGCTCTTCTCTACACAATGTACAACAAAAACTGAAAATTTACACCTTTTTGTGAAAACAAATAAACGTGCTAAAACAAAGACCTAGTTATTTTCTTTAAAGTTACTGTCAAGAGCCAATCAAAGCGAGTTTGTTTTAAACTTTTTTGTTTAATAAACTGCTAAATTATTCAAAGCACGACGAGTATAAAAGAGAATGTTTTCCCAATGCGTTCGAGCCTAACTAGTTACGAGATTTGTGATAATGGCCGACTCGAGTACAGATGTAGCGAAACGTGAGATAAGAGAGTCTTTAAAATTAAGTACATTTTTTATGCGACTCATTGGTTTCACGTTACACAAGCCGAAAACGCCATCTGCAGTTATAATACAGAAACTTATTTTCTCTGCGACCGTTGTGGGGGTGGTAATACATGTTCTCAGTGAATTATCATTTCTCTGCGTCACGTCAACTAATTCGCCGCGGGTTGAGGACGTGGTTCCATTAATACACACTGTCGGCTACGGCATTTTAAGTGAGCAATGCTATAGCATGTCTAATATAGGATGATATGTTTGACAATTCGCAATTAGATAGTGTTAAACGTTCGTATATCGTTTCGCTTATTCATTGGTTATATACAACTAAAAAGCAATGGTTAAAAGAGAGAGTAAGAACGTTCTTTAAATACGAATCAATTACCCTTTCCCGAAATCCCGTTTCCCCCAAGGGGCATGGGATAATCACATTCCTGTGTCCGTTTCACTAAACGTTTCTCAGGCAAGTAGTTGATTAGACTTCTGTGCCCTGGCCGACTTAAACAATCTATTGATTCCCCGGGATTCGAAGACAGGACCTCTCGCGTTTAACCACTTGCGATCACAAGCGATTTTACATTACTCTTACTTATTTATATCCGTCAATAAAGTACGATGTGATTAGTACAATATTTAAAAAAGTAATACCTACTTCATAGACGTGAATTTTCAAACTTACCATCCTATTTTAGACAGAACGTAACTGTATCATTTGCATGCACTGGTTTTAAGATTACTAGCACAAAAGTATTTTTTGAGACCACTTCCTACGAGACGAAATTAAAAATTCGATACCGTATTTTATTCGAAGCAAAAAAGTACGTTCTACTTGTGGTTTGATAAATCTACTTAATATTATATGATTGTTAATATAAGTTTTAAAATTTTTTAATTTTGCAAGAATGATCAGTTAATAACAACCTAGAAAAAATAGTCAGTTCATCTAGCAAAAATAAGATAACTTATTTTTAACGTCCTAATCAATAAAAAACTTTAACGATTTAAAACGCGATATAACATATATATATAGTTAAAGTGTTTTATTTAAATGTGTACTACTGGCGTAAACAACAGACAGTATTCTAATCAATTTACCTTCGAAGGCATTTCAAAGTTCGCTGTACTCTATTCCAAGAAGAGCATATTTGCACAACTTCTGGATGACCTGTCGACCATATGGCCAGTGGCACCTCTTGAAACGGAAGCTCAACTTTTGAAGAGCAGCAGCTTGAAAGCATTGCGGCTTACGCATAGCTGTAAGCATATGTTAATAATCCATACTACACTAATATATAAAGCTGAAGAGTTTGTTTGTTCGCGCTAATATAGGAACTACTGGTTCGAGTTGAGAAATTATGCTTGTGTTGATTTGAGCATTTATCGAGGAAGCTTGTAGACTATAATACAGACTATAAATGTGGGAAAAACGGGATAACATTTCTTTGACGGTTTTCGTTCCGTGCGCTGCGAAAACGGTTTAAGATACCCAAAAAAATATGTATGTACGAAGTATACCCCTTGTAATGATCAAAAAATATAGCTCAGATAGTAAATGTCTATTTTATAAGATTACTTACAATAACCGTTTTATGTTAATCAAATTTTGGTCAAAATACTTCATATGATAAAATAACGCTTGCCAGGTAAGCTAGTATTTAAAAACTGAAAACGACTCTCTCGACGGCATCTCAACGAATGATTAAGAATGTATTTTAATTATTTTTATGTTTTATTTTTCAATGGTTAAACTTGTTGCCTAATATTGCGTTAAGCGTGAGAGGTCCTGGGATCAAATCTCCGGAAGACAATATATTATTTCAATTGGAAAACCATAGGAATATGATCAACTACTTGCCCATAAATAAAACCGATCATTGAAACTGACACATAAATGGCTCCGCCCCAACCCCCCACGGGGGGAAGCGGGATTAAACTTTACAAACCCTAGATCTAATAAAACAACACGGCAAACGCGAAGACATTGTTAGTCAATTCTGCGAGGACCCGGCCAGTTTCGCCAAATACCAACTTAGACGGAATAGATAAGGCAGCAGTAGCGTAGCAGTATTTACTTTGTCATTAGAAACACTATGCCCTCGGCTGCTGCAAAGCATACGAATTGTCACATCGTAATTAAATTTATTTATAAACAAGTTTAACTAATATATTTCGCGTTTTAAACCGTTAAAGTTTTTTATATGAATAAAACTGTACAATTATTTTTCAGGGTATTTCGGCTTAAACGAATCCGGTGTTTGTTTCTTTGCTATAACCCCAGTGAGTTTGTATTTCTTTAACCAAATGCGAGGACAGAACTATGCTATCAGATCGATTTGGGCTTCATGGTATCCCTTCAACATATATTCCAGCAACTTTGTGCATGTGTGCGTTTATATCTTTGAAATCTTCTCAGGTTAGTCAAAACTTTTTGGTAGGCGGTATGTATTGGTGAAGTAGAGGCGACATATAGCTAATAGTTTAACGCCCAAACTCATCGATACTAATATTATAAGGCTAAAAATTTTTTTGTTTGAACGCGCTAATCTTAGGAACTACTAATTTGAATTGAAAAAATATTTTTATGTTAGAGCATTTATAGAAAGGCTTTATAGGCTATAAAACATCACGCTGCAACCAATACGAGCATCGAAAGATGTTATCTGTAAAAACAGAGAAAATTATTAACCTTTAATAGTTTCCTTTGCGAGCGCTGCGAAACGGTTCTGCGAAAACATGTAAATTTCTCTTTAAATTATCTAAAAATGTCCCCAACAAGATATGTCTACCTTTCAAGATTGACTTGCCAGACCGATGGGTTGCAAACGATAATTTATAAAATAAATTGCAAAGACATTTTAGTGTAGTAATGAGGTAGTAGCTGACATAGCTAGGTGTAAATAATTCTCTGTTATTGCAACCGTCTGGACCATCTCGATGTTAATTGGGCAGTCACCAACCATCACCAAGAGATCGAAAAGCCGCGAAGTTATTTGCGTTACATTCCTCTGGGTTTCTGAATGTCCAAAACAAAAATAGGCCGGCGGCGAATCTTTATAAATTCTACTATAGTGCAGGGGTATTTTACCTTCCTTTTCGTAATCTCGCGTTTTTTTTAGACAGAGGAGTATTAACAAGAATGGGCTTTAGTATATAAAATATCTAAACAAGACGCGCTGCCAACATACTTTGGCTTCGGACATTTTGATTGTATGGCCTGTTATAGTAATCTAGCCACTTGTTTTTCATAATTAATGCAGGTCAATCCTGTGTGTGGGTGATGATAACTTCCGATCTGCTGTTCACGGGAATGGCAAGCCATATAATTCTCCTACTGAAATTACTACAGCAACGCTTACTTAAACTTGGTGAGATGGGTCGCACTGACGAAGACGACTATAAAGAACTGATTGGAAGTATACAGCTTCATCAAAAACTTATTAAGTATGTATTGTATTTTAAATATGAAGACCTGGTAATTGAAAGATCATTCTTTACTATATCTTCCTCTTCATTGGCTAACGCGTTATGACATCAGCCTATCTTCTCTTACGCATCGTTTCGTTTAGACTTTAGATCCATTGAGTTGGCGCTCTTCAAAGACACTTAATTTGCAATCAAAATCGGGACCAATACTTCAACGTGTCTTTTAAGGCACAGGGGTGGTGACATCTTCTTCTAAGCTCAGTGTTGGTCCTAGCAACTTAGTTGGAAGTATTGAAAATACAGAACTATTTCTCTACGATTTCTCCCGACGCAGGATTCGCACTCGGCACTTTGTGACTTGCAAACAAGTATGCTATCAGCTACAGGAGCAACAATTTTCGTGATAAGCATGAATTTTTATAGATTCTTGAAAGGTACTTTACTTCATTGAGCTATTGACGGCGATATGATGAAATAACATTTTATCATTACTACAGGTACTGTAAGGACTTGGAAAACGCCTTCTCCCTTGTCAATCTTATAAACGTTGCCCTAAGTTCTGTCAACATTTGCTGTGTTTTGTTCGTCATAGTGGTAAGTATAACAATGACGATTTATATGTATGTTACCTTTCATTATGTATCAAAATGAATAATATTTAATCCAGACTATATTTAAAAAATGTTTTTACAGCACGGTTTTTACGGCAGTAGTTAGAAGAAAAATTTAAAAAATCTTGTAAAATACTATCCTTTAAATTTAAATGTTGTAAAGATTACAGATATGTTTTATTTGCCTTTATACCTGGTCTGACATCGCCCCTTGATGTCGATCCTTCGCCACTCTTATTTCTTGAAGGCATTCTCCCATCGTTTGTCTTCCTTTGTGTCTCATCAATTCGGTACCATATCTTAAAATACTTATTCCCCTTGGCCTGTGTCCCGCCCATCCCAACTTATATAACTGTTATAATAATTTAAATAAAACACTTTAAAACGCGATATATTTTAGTAGTTAAACTCATTTGAATTATTTTAACTACGGCCCGACGTTTGCATGCTTTGCAGCAACCGTGGTCACGGGGAGTCTAAAGATGGAGGGTATCTATCTAATATATATCGCGTTTTAAACCGTTAAAGTGCTTTATTTAAATGTGTACTACTCGCGTAAACTACAGACAGTGTTATATTAATAATAATTTCTATTCCAGCTTCTAGAACCTGTGATGGGTATGAGCAACAAACTGTTCCTTGGTGCATCTTTAATCCAAATTGGTATTATATGCTGGTACGGGGAGAATATTATTCAAGAGGTGACTGATTTTAAAGTACATAATTGTCCTATTATTTTAAAACTAGCTGTATCAGCGACTTTGTCCGCGAGAATCATTATTTTGGGCATCCAAATTTCCATATTTATAAACTTAAGCTGTTACCCATGACGTCGGTCGCGTCCCTTTCAACCGTCGAAAATCCATGATGATAGGTAATTGTCTCCATTTTTTCCACATTGCCCCCTGTTTCTTCGCTCCTGTTAGTCACACCGCCATGTATTATAAATATAGCCTCGATAAATGCTCTACCCAACACAAAAGGCATTCCCAAAACAAATTTGAACCAGTAGTTCCTGAGATAACTCATCAGCTTTATATATACAGAATGCTAAGATAGCGGAAGCAGCCTATAATAACAATTGGTATAAACTGAGTCCTCGATGCAGAAGAAGCTTAGCCTTCCTTATACAGAGGTATTATCTATTAATTCTCTTTTTTTAATTACATATACCGATACGAAATCCAAATTCTTCTAAAGACATATTCTTGTATATTTTTCACTCGTCACTTCTGTAGACTTTTATCTTAGGCAAAATACTAAAACTAAGATTACCTTTTGTTTCGCCTGGATTAGATCCCACGACCCCGTCACGTAGCCTACCTACTGCCTACCATTTAACCATAAATAGATATTATAAGTTACAATTAAATATATAATTTTAAAATCAATCAAATCAGACTAATACGTTTTAGTTGGGAAAAAAACACTTTCATCAATGTTCTTACACTCTTTCAGAGCGCAGAAACCAATTGCGTTTACTGCAATGAATTTTACCAACATATCCCTAGTCACGTATTCAGCTGTAAGTTGATTTTCCGTTTTAAAAATATATTTTTTATCTATGGACGGTGACTTGGGTGTTTCGTGACTCGGACGGAATTTCGATATTCCTAACCATTTCATATTCTGATTTCTAGAAATATATAAACTGATTAGAAAAATGTTCGACCCGTTAAATATTAGACATACATTGCTACCATTATTAGCAGTGACAACCTGGGCTTCTCCTCTACTTTAGGTGGTCAAGCATATGCCGAGAGCTTAACCTATTTCACAGCACTTTTCCAAGTTTCTATTTTTTGTTTTTCTCTTTTTTTAAATGTAGTTATTAAGCTAATATTTAAGTTATTTATTCTATCTTGTGAAATGAATGGTTTGAGTTTGATCGCCAAACGTCGAGATCAATTGTTCAATCACGACGGTCGAACAGTTCAAAAACCCAAAATGGCCGCCAATTTATTTAATAAATACAACTTATTTTTCAGATTCTCACAAGATCGTACTCGTATTTCACCCTCTTATACACTATGTATGGACAGAATTAAGAACACATGTTAGATTAATTGAAAAGTAGCATTCTAAATGAACATAAAAATACAAAAAAATACAAAAACGTAACATTGAAGACAATAAATTTAATTGCATTCTATCACGTAATAAGTCCATTTCTAATCTCCAATACTTCAGTTTGTCTGGACGAGATCGCTGCTTAGCGATAAGGCGGCATTTCATTTATAAGTTGCTACGTAATATTGTTTCTTTTTGGTTTTGAGGTGTGTTATAAATAATGAAGCTATAATAAATAAATATACGTATATATTATTATAATAGATATTATTCAACATAAATAATCTTGTTTTATTATAAGGACGAGTAATAATGTATTCAACATTTTCTTCACTCCTTTGAATAGTTATCACTAATTGAACTTATATCATAATAAGACCTAATTTATCACCGGTTTGCTAAATGTCTGCATACTTCAAAGTCGGAGTTACTTACAATCTTTTTATTCAGTGCCTAAATAATTATCTCCTTACAAACAACCGAACTCCTGTAATTTAAAAACCGAAAAAAAAATTAAAACAATGCCGGCTCGGACTTTCAACTTATTGATACTTTTTTTTTCAATGATTAAATTATGTAGCGCCATTATGTGCAGTGTGAAAATATAATAGTTTTTAAACGAACTCGTGATCCTCCCGAAGAAAAATCAGGAACACATACCAGATGGAGATTTGCATTATGCGTGAATCGATGCCGTTAAGATCCATCCACAGCCAAGTTTCTAAGCATATTTAACCATTTCATGCCCAATCTCTATAATATCCATATTCAGTGGGCATTTCAAACGCATGTGTTCCACTGAACTGTACAACTGGGCCAGAACATTACGGTCAAATGTTTTTAAAATGTCCGTTTCAGGCCACCAGTGGTTTTACACTTTAAATTGGTTACCTTGCACATTAACATGCGAAAATACTTTTCAGGCGTTCAATCTCAGGAATGTCATGTTAGATTCTCTTGCATATGACATAAAGCCTCTATAAGTAAGTGTAAAAGTAGAATACAATTTTGTAAAAATGTAGTGTGGACATTCTGAGCGGTGTTGAATTTGAGTCCGATCCAAAATAAATATCTTAATGGATTAAACTAATAATATAATCAAAGTAATTATATTTTAAATGCTTAGGCCAGTATGGAAAGTGGCTAAACTCTGAATGGAAATTAGCTTAATCATTTCAAATTAGCTTTTATGAAATAATTATTTCAAGAAACAGAGAGAACATAACAATACAAATTTTCCCCCTGAGGCATGGTGTAAACACATTTCTCGGTCCGTTTCACTGATCGGTTCTTTTACAGGCAAGTACTTGATCGTACCTCGGTGCCCTGCCCGACCGAAAAAATCTGTTGTGTCCCTGGGATTCAAACTCAGAACATGTCGCGCTTAACGCAATGGTAGGTAACACATTTGATTATTTGATTACAGAGGCGGTCAATAAATAAGACCTTAAATACTAATCAAGTACGAAAAAAATTAAACTATACTACATAAACAAGAAATATATTAATCAGTACATGTGATTTTGACATACAATTAGGTATTTCTTACAAATTTATTAAGAATTTAATTCTATTTAAACTTGAGGTGATTTTCCACTAATTAAAGGATTTCATTCTTTTGAACTGGCACAGATCTCCTTTTCTTTCAGAGCTAAGACCAACCACGCACAAACATTCACGTTTAGCATTAAAAATATTACCAGGGTAATATTAATATAACATATTTAACAAGCATTAACAAGTAGTTGAAATAAATACGTCAAGTAGATTGCACGGTCCCTATACATGGAAGACCCTATTTTGTGTGTACAACAACAGAAGATTTTATATATTTGAAAAAACTTACCAAAAATGTTTCTAACATGGCAAACCGTTCTAGTTAAACCAGCTATAAAAAATAAATGTACTGTTGGCCGAATGTGAGCAATGGGGCGGATACAAGACTGTGTCTGTGTCTGTGTACAGATACAGTCTTCTAAAGGTACACTTTTGAATAAAACACATTTTTAAAGTACATATACGTGGCTTACAGTCTATTGCCTTTTGTGAAACATAACGTAAAATGACGTAAAGTGACGCTTGAGCTTATAAAATGTATACTTAAATTAGAAGATCTCTTATCAGTCCCCAAGATCAAGTTCTTTCAAAGCCTTTTTTTGTGTCGATGTAATACAAGAATCATATGTTGGGCTATAGAATTACGTACATCACATCCGTATATGGAATTTGCCGGCTTTAGTGACGTACTTAACGCCTTTGAAGGGCTTGTACTTGGCGCCGTACATGTCTAGGCGACTCACGCGCAGCCCGCTCACCGCCAACGCAGGGATCGTGAAGTGCACGTTTATACTTGGATTTGCGCCAGACGTGTCTGCTCCGGATGCTACGGAAACCTAGAACGCAAGTTTTGGAAAGATTTGAAGAGGATAACACTTAGTAAAGAAATCACACACACTCTTATATACGCAGTTCAAAGTACTGTCTGTATTTTAAATCAAACACATTTTAACAGTTTAAAACGCGATATTTCATTTGATTATTTTATTTATATTATATGAAATTGTAAATATGTTTATTACGTTCCGTATTTTTAAATCGTTAACATGTGTTTTATGTAACTACAGAAAGATGCGAAATATTGACCTTGGGCATAAGGTAAAATAAGTTTACTGATACATTTCGCGTTTAAACCGTTGAAAGTGTTTGTTTTAACAGTTTATTCTACTTAAAAAAAAAAACATAAAAAGATTTAACTTTTTTATTCTTCATTATCGATATATATTTGATCTTGAATTATACTTATTCTATTGAGTTGACAATTACAATATATACCAACAAGTCCCCTAGATATAATCAATTTTAATAAATAATTACTAATATCTGAATAACTTACAGATCCTCTGATATTAGGAAGTTTGGGCAGCTCAATACGTCCAATGTCCCAAACGAGGACTTTACTGACGGGATCGTAGGAATACTTCCCTTGATTCGCGGTCAAAGAACAGTTCAGTACACACTTTGGCATACAGATTTCAAGGGAAACATCTGAAAGCAAATTACCATTAAAATTGTGTACCTTTACTCTTTATCTAAGGACCAAGTATATTTATATGGTATCTTGAAGCTTTAATTGGCTAACGAACTAACGGTTCCTCGCGGAGTTACCGATGTTGTACTTCTTTATAACCTAAGTTTCTTCTTACTTTCAGCCATATACGAAATGGCATTACTGCTTAAATCAAGGTAATAGTAAAAAAGATCACTATATCTTCAAAAATGTATTTTAACATGATACCATGTAACTTCAGCCATTTAAAACACATTTAAACGGCTTAAAACGCTTAATATATTAGTTAAGTATTTTTTACTATGACCCGTCGTTTCCCGTCAGTTTGTTAATCCATTAAAAAGTGTTTTACTTAAGTGCATATTCCAAACATTGCCTGTTTACACGACACACCTATACTATTATAGACTGTAGAAATATATTTTTTTAGCTATTGCTATATAGTCAAAACATCTTTATGTTTTTCTAATGGGAAGACTTAGTTATCCTGCTTGTATTTATTACAGCAAGGTGCTATATATTTCATAGTGTAGTTCTTTGAAACAGTCGTTCCAGAGATAACCGTATTCAAGAAAACAAACGAATTTCATAATAAATTTAAAACTATATATAGGCAAGATACAACAATAATAGTTTGAATACATAAAAAAGGACTTACTTTCTAAAGTTCTGCCCATAGTTTGTTTTGGTCCAACGGTTAAGTCTAACCTTCCCTGATCACCGTTAGACTTTAACACGAGATTATGCCTCACATACATAGGAATAGCCACTACACTTTGTGACCCAACGTGATAAGACATCAAGCGGAAATTACCATCCGGCGGTATGAAGGAAAGGATTCTTTCAGACTGAAAAAATGTAAATATTCTTTAGTAATACCAATAACACAAATCAAAATATCCATTGGGGTACTTAGTAATTATACTTAATAGATTTTCCAAGTTAGACAGTTGAAGGGCAAATGGGAGAAATGGTTAAGATATCTAGAACAGTGGATTAATCCCCGGAAATTTAATAAAGTCGGTGCAGAAACAATTTGAAATCAAACAAACTCAGAATTATTTCTCCACCGTGTACCAAATAGAAACAGTATTTTGAATTCAAACATAATACAGATAAGAAAACTATTCAATAGAAATCTTACCTCCCATCGTTTGAATCGGACACAAGGATGGAATGAAACATCATCAAATAACCTAGGATTAACAAATGTGAGAGTCAAATCTGGCATCCCACTCAGCTTAATGCAACAGTCAATCTGAAAGAGGTTTAATTATTATACACTGTGTTAAACACTGTCTGTAGTTTACGCGAGAAGTACACATTCTAATAAAACACTTTGACGGTAAAAACGCGATTTATATTACTTAAAACTGCAGACATCTCCCCGTGACCACGGGCTTATATTCTATAACAAAGCGCCTGAAACGTCGGGCCGGAGTTAAAATAATTTTCAAATAAGTTTAACAAATAGGTATATATCGCGTTTTAAAGCGATTTTGGATTTCAAAATCGTAAGGTTTGGTTTCTTACATATCCTTGGATTTCTGCAGAAACTGTAGCTCCACTTTTATCAATAATGGCGTCAACTTCTTCCACGACATCAAAGTAGGCTTCATTATTCGCATATTTGACGCCAGACCGCCGCCAAGGCACGTTAGACAGTTGGCCAGATGGTAGTATTGATGAAACACTGAAATAAAATGTATGTATTATCTTTGTATCAAAAGCAATAGTAATAGCAATCAATACTTATATTATAGTTTGTAAAAGCAATAATAATATTATAATTTAAAAAGATGAGAAGGTTTGCAGAAACAAATTTTGTTACCTAAAATAATTATTCTATGCAGACAAAGTCACGCGCACAGCTAGTTTTTAATATGTCCACTTGCTGCTTAATTGCGTGCCTTCTCTCTTTCTCAACATTGACCTACTCCTTCCAACACTCTAAATTACTCAATACTTTATATGAAATGAAATTAGTCTTTACTTACTTTGATTTACCTGTAACTGTATTGGCAATTGTTCTAAGAATATTTGGTGGTTTTATCAATTCTTTAAGTATATTGCTTTCAGTGGCTAAGGGAAAACCATTGTCCAACATCTCATCTAACAACTGAAATAGAAATGTATTATGATAAGATTAATAGTTCTGTGAGTTAAGAAAAACAAAAAGTTGTCAAATTTGATTTCCTTTGACTGTTAAAATATTGTAGCCCTGTATCATTACAGTCAAGTAAAGATGATATAAGAGTATTTTTAAAAACTTACATACCTCATAAACAACTACATAGTTCTCCTTAATAATTGTCTCTGTACAATCTGAGAAATAATCCTGAAAATATATAAATGTTATGTTATTTGTACATATATGTCGAAGTATGTGATCCAGAATTGTTTTTAAAATTGGTGACGTCGGCAGCACGACTCATAATTGTCAATATTGTTAGAGTGGTCCATTTTTACTATTGAAACACTTTTATAATTGAATAATAAAAATAGCTATAGACTAGACGTTCGCTCTCAGAGCGCCGTCCTTCCAAAAGTGCCCTGCGCTACAACGGACGGCCTTATATAAGCACGTAGTGGGGGATTTCAGTGGAGCGACCGACGTGAGTCACTTGTTTACGCCTTTAGGAACACTCACGATGACGTAACGCATTGCCTGTTTTGCGCCGATACGACCATCCTGACGGCTGTGCGCGCTCTCACTAGCCGTTTTGGTGTTTTACTGAAGAATATTAATTTCTGAAACTGGTAAATTTTAATCTTTGAGATTGGTATCTGTGAACCAGGTTCTATAATTATTATGGTCAGCAATAAGATTCATATCTGACTGAGTTTAGTGTATACTGTATGTTATGTTGTCACATACACTGTGACACCAAAGTCACGCACTCTGTGGTACTATTGTCGTGTACCCTGTGGTACTATTGTCGTGTAACACATCACAATAGTTACAGTGACAAATTATATTGGTAAAAGGTCATTTTAATTAACTGTTCATTCCACATGACAACAGTTTAAATCAATTGCTATTTAAACGGTACTTATTTAAGTAAACTGCTCATTCCACATGAAACAGTTAAGGACTAATATATTGGTGATCTTATATTTTAATTTTATTGAACTGCTCATTCCACATACAACAGTTTCGTATTTTTAATTTTATTGAACTGCTCATTCCATATGACAACAGTTTCGTATTTTTAATTTTATTGAACTGCTCATTCCACATGACAACAGTTTCGTATTTTTAATTTTATTGAACTGCTCATTCCACATGACAACAGTTTCGTATTTTTAATTTTATTGAACTGCTCATTCCACATGACAACAGTTTCGTATTTTTAATGTGTAGGCGATAGCGAAACAATTATAACAACACAGGTAAGGATAGGTTGGAGACAGGGCGTCTCATAAAGCAGAGGCTCTAAAGGATGATTTGACTAGGTCGATGCTGTGATCTAGGCGGTCCTGAGCGCCGCGGACACAGGGGAATAAATTATTATTTTTTTTTTTTTTCGGATAGGATTTCGCTACCGCTGGCCGTTGGTGGGCTCCAATACCCCAACGTGCATCTTTTCACACTATTATTTTTTTTTTTTTTTTGGCCGTTGGTGGGCTCCAATACCCCAACGTGCATCTTTTCACATAATATTTATGATTGACTCATTAACGATCAGTCGCTAAGAGCAATAATATTATTAGGATTAGTCAAAGGACTAAATGAAGTGAAGAATAAGTATTGCGCCTCGCTAGGTTAACAGATTAAATGGAACTCACCGGGATTTGTCAGATTGTCTCAATCTGAAGACTTTTTAATTTTTAACCAGACAAGGTCATAGGTCATTACATTAACTGTAAATTCTGCTGGGTTCTTGAACCCCTGAACCCTTGTGATATTCAATATCGAAATCATAATTTTGTAGAAATGTCCACCATGGATGAATCCACTGCCAAGGTTTCTAACTCTTGAGTTTCTTTTTTGACAAAGTGCAAGTGTTGGAGCTGAGGTTTCCACCGGTATTCCATCATTGCCATTTCCAGTATGAAATTTCCTTGTATCAGGCTATTAAGCGGAGAAGGTAGGTAATCCCACTTCTGATGTCGAAGTATGTGATCCAGAATTGTTTTTAAAATTGGTGACGTCGGCAGCACCGACGTCATAATTGTCAATATTGTTAGAGTGGTCCATTTTTACTATTGAAACACTTTTATAATTGAATAATAAAAATAGCTATAGACTAGACGTTCGCTCTCAGAGCGCCGTCCTTCCAAAAGTGCCCTGCGCTACAACGGACGGCCTTATATAAGCACGTAGTGGGGGATTTCAGTGGAGCGACCGACGTGAGTCACTTGTTTACGCCTTTAGGAACACGTGCAGCGATGACGTAACGCATTGCCTGTTTTGCGCCGATATATATATTTGTAGGTATATAGTACAATAATAAAAGTAAGATGAGAACAAACCTGGAATGTATCAAAGACTCTATGAAGAAATTCTATAACAAAGAGTGGGGCAACTTCTTGTTTACTAACTGCTACCAAAGCCACTCCACCACGTTGAATAGATATTAGATAATGATGTGGAGCTGCTAGAACTGGTGGAACATCCTACAGACAAGCATTTAAATATTGTAATCCTAATAAAGTATAAAATTATTAGGAAATAATATATGAAATGTTACTGACGTTGGGGGAAGCACGCTGTGCTTCTAAATAGTAATCACATACTGATCTTGGTATAACACTCCTCCAATGCTTCTCAAGAAATACATCTCTGAAATAAATGATATACATATATGAGTGAAGTTTTTTCCAATAAGACATACCTACTTATTTAGAACAAAAGTTTAAGTTAAATTCTACTCACCCAGATGGATTAATTATAAACAAACTGTGAATCATTGTTATAAATCTGTATGTGAAGAGCGATTTTGTTATTAAAAATCTGATATTTTAGAAATACATTTATTTTTATTACTACGAACAGATGTTAATTATATTCTACCGGGTCAGTCAAACCCTGCAGTGCGTTTGAAAAGTCTTATTTATTCTTATGAATATTAAAAGTGTAAGTTAAAAAATTTTTAAAGGATAAAACGAAATCAAAGTTAGATTTGTTTTTGATACCAACACATCTGACATCAAACGTCAAGCTCTTAATCTTCACAGATATAATAGAGTATTGACATCACAGACTACCATAGGGCATACACATAATGTTACTACATGTTAGCAGTATACGATGTAATATGTATACGACATTATAACCAAAAGTTAAAGACCTAACAATTAACATGGCAAATTAATTTTATAAATAGGAAGCACACATTTCAACGGTTTAACAACATATTATTTACCGCCTTTCTGTTGCTGCTTTAACAAAAAATAACTTAAACCACTATTATTATAAAAAAAAATACGATATACCTTTTTGTATCCTTACTAATGTACCTACCTACCTCTTCAGTACAAATTAACAAGCTATTGTGTTGATTTGTTTTATATATTTAGAAAAAATATATAAATTGGTAATTTAAGATGCCACCACTTTAATTTTTCATTATTGAAAAATAGTATATCTACACTAATATATAAAGCTGATATCTTATAAATTTCAACAGAAAAATACTACAAACGTCGGTTTAAAGTGAACTATAAACCTAATGAGTTTTAATTTAAAAATATTTGAAAACTTGAATATTTTTAACATGTGGATGATTTATTGTATAAATTAAAAATCTATTAAGGTTGATAAAAATTTACAACTCAATTGGGTTAAGCAGCAGTACGAAGCACTGGGTGCTGGTTCTAGTCCTGCTTGTATCATGATTTTTAAATTTATGTGTAAATATAATATCTATTTCAAATTTGGCACTAATTCATTATAGACATAGTTCAAATGATTTTTTTCACATATTATTATTTAATTTAACATCAATACTTCCTTTGTATAATACAATTTGTGTCTAATCCACAAAATGCAATTGAGTCAAACTAAAAGTAAAGTACCTATTTATGAAATAAATAAAACAATAAATGGATTTTTGAGTTTATTGAGACTTGCCCTTAATATTAATTAACGGTTGGATTTAGCAACACGTTCCAACTCATCCTTTTTCTTAATAGCATATGAGTTGGATGAACCCTTAGCAGCATTAATAAGTTCATCGGCAACACATTCAGCAATGGTCTTGATGTTTCTGAAAGCAGCCTCACGAGCCCCAGTACACAGAAGCCAAATAGCTTGGTTTACTCTACGGAGTGGAGACACATCCACAGCTTGACGACGCACTGTACCCGCACGACCGATTCTAGTTGAATCTTCACGGGGTCCAGAGTTAATAATGGCAGTAACCAGCACTTGCAGGGGATTCTCACCAGTTAAAAGGTGAATGATTTCAAAGGCATGTTTGACAATACGAACAGCCATTAATTTCTTTCCGTTGTTGCGTCCGTGCATCATCAAGGAGTTGGTCAGGCGCTCAACAATGGGGCACTGTGCTTTACGGAATCGTTTGTGAGCATACCTACCAGCAGAGTGAGGCAAGTACTTCGCATACTTTTCCTTAACAGAGATGTAATCCTGTAGGGACATGTCGGATACTTGGACGTCGTAACAGCTCCATCTTCCGAAAAGTTTAATTTCTGGGATATCTGCGGCTTGGGGCAGGGGCATGTTATCGATAGCCACGCCGCCCGTCTCCATGCTTTCTTCATTCCAATTTTCATCAGCCATTGTAAATGCCTAAAATTATAATAAGTCATTAGTAATAAAACTATTTACTTAAATAACTTAAAAAATAGCCGTATAAATGCAATAATTACGTACTTTTTCGCAATTTACAAAAATATAACCTCGTGTTGTCAAAAGAACACGATAGAAAAGAACCCGGTGTTGCCAGGTAGTACTAAAGAAATTCCAGCGTGAAAATAAAAATAACCACAGATAAATAATTTTTGATTTAGGCAATTATTAACCTTTTAACGCTTAAAAAATATATATAGATTACGAAACAAAATTATAATAAATATTTTATTAATCATAAAACAAGCTTAATTTAGCTCTTGTAATTATGATATAGTTGTTGGACAAACTTTTTTGGCAGATAGCCAATCTACTTTGGCCACACTGGTAGATAACGAAATAAAGTCGACCATAGAATGATAGAAACAAATTGCTTTACGTGCGACACAATTCTAAACATTAGCCACTTTTACTTTCATTATTACAATTATATATGGATAAACTGTCTGATGAAAGTGTATATCCATGTATAGTGAAATTATAACTAATTTATAACGCTAAGAAGTTTATTTGTTTGTACTGCACTCTCATCTCAGAAACTATTGCTTCGAATTAATATATATGAATTTATGAATGGAAAAAAAATCTTATAAGTTTACAGGGCAAAAACGGTTCAAAATATGTATGAAAGAATGATTTCTCTTTAATCTAAAAACTGTCCACGATACTTTGTTTATCTTTTAAGATTTAGTAGCAAGAACTACGGGACGCGACCGACTACGTGGGTACCAGCTATAATTTATTTTTGTTAGTTTGCAAAACTAAATGATATGTTATCCAAAATAACTTATATGTTATGATGAATGAAAAGTACACATTTATGTTAAAGTATTTATTAAAAATGATAACAACAATAAATAAACAAGGTCATATTAAAATAAAGTTGTGTGATACTCTTATTAATTAATAAAATCTTTTTTACATAATATAAAATTCATTCTTTAACAAATAATGAAACTTTTCAGAGGTTAAAATAATTATCAGTTACTGTGAAGCAATTTCTAACATTTTCTTAATACAAGTCAATTTCTCTCTTGGTTTCCCAGTCTTTTTACCTTGATCTACTTCATAGTTATCAATTCTTTCCCAACCCTGCCAAGTTATAACTGGAGTGTTGGTCTCTCTCAGGAGATTTTTAATACCCTCAAATCCAGCCTTTGTGGAACTACAAGTCTGTAAATCTTGGCAAATATTTTTTGCCACTTGAAAAGCATTGCCCATTGTATGTATTATAACACCAACTGGGCCGGTGCCTAACCAACCAGCTACATAAAGTTTGCCTAAATCTGTATTTCCATCATCTACAACTCTTCCATTTTTATTAATAACACAACCACTGGAACCAAACCTTAAACCATCATCTGCTTTAATGCTTTTATATCCTATGCTTCTTAAGGCTAAGCTACAATGTAGAATTTCTGAATCTTCTGTAGCAACACACTGTTGACTTTCCATGACATCTCCAATCAATTTATTACAAGTTAATTCAATTCCAGATACAGAATCTTTGTTGACAAAAAATCTTTTAGGACTTCTAAAAAATATAGGCTTGAAATAATTTTGATTGGGATTGTTAACTTGTACCCTTTGTTCAGTCACAGATTTCAGCATGAGTTCAGTTAATCTTTTTCTAGGTCTTGGTAAGCTTGGCACTAAATCTGCCACACCGGCAAAATCACTTTCTCGCCAAACCGTTGAACAGTTCGGAAGTTTTAATTGTTCTCTTAGCTCTTTTATTGTAAAGGCTACTTGAATGGGGCCTCTCCTTCCAATAAGATATAGTTCCTTTATCTGTGATTCAGCAATAGCTTGCAAAGCAAACTCTGTTATATCAGTTTTCTTTAATTGGTCAACTGGAGTAAGAATTATTCTGGCTACATCCAAGGCCACATTTCCTTGTCCAATAATTGCTGCTGTGTGGCCCGATAGATCAACCTACACAAAAATAGTTATCATGTTAGTGCTGATAGCTATTATATAGTATATATTATGTTTAATATCAGATCAACACATCACCTTCAAATCCTTATCACGTGGATGACCATTGTACCATCCAACAAAATTTCTTGCAGCAATTATATTTTTTACATTTTCATTGTCAATATTTAAGGTTCTATCCTCTTCAGCTCCATATGTCTAGAATTGCATTTGAAGTGGAATTTTAAAAAGATTTTAAGAAATAAAAATAAAACCTATGAAATCAAAAGTTGGAGTAACTTACCAATAGAACAGCATCGTAAAATTGTCTCAAATTTTCCAAAGTTATGTCTTTTCCCAAAGTAATATTGCCATAGAAATTAATGTTTTCTTGCCTTGCTAATTTCGTAAACTGATTTATGCAATTCTTAACCTCAGGATGATCTGGTGCTACACCATACCTTTAAAATTTTATTATAGTAATTTATATTTAAGTCACATTAGTTAATCACACTTCAAACAAAAGTTCTCATATTTATTGGATTATTTGAAGGTGGGTTTTACCTAACTAAACCAAATGGTACCGGCAACTTTTCAATGATATCAATTTGCACTGGGTTCAAATGTTTTACCAAATGCATAGCAGCATAAAACCCTGCCGGCCCAGCACCTATAATACAAACGCGACGAGGCGGCCCCGAAGAACATAAGCGCCTTATAGTATTAAAACAGTACATAATATCAAACTTCTTCATCGTCACTTTCGTTTCTTTATTATACAGAATTAAAATAAAGTTGGGACTATGTTATCATGAAACTTTGTTAAATCATCATTTTAGTGTTTTTGCGATAAAAACTTTACCACTTCTAGATTATAATAAATTATTCAAATTTCCAAGACACAGTATTTTATTTTCGATTTGGAATATGTAGGTAAATAAAGTACACAGATCATTGCTAAATTATACTTACAAATAGAGGCGGGCGATTATGAGATATACTAACGAAATCATTCGATTATGAAAATGTCTCGATTATAGCGGTTAGTAGTTACTAATACTAGAAAGTAGAGTTGGACGATTATAAGATATACTAATGAAATCATTCAAACGAAATATTATATTAGTATAGTATTATATTAGTAGTTATGTACTCATACTAGTAAGAAGAGGTGGGTCGATTATGAGATATACTAATGAAATCATTCGATTATGAAATGTTAGTAGTTACAATAGAGTAGGATAATAATTAGTAGTTACTAATACTTTTAAGTTAGGACAACGAACTATGGCCTCTCGCTCGCTTTCACGCCACACACCAAACATTTAGTATAATGTTGGGTGTGGCCCTTTTATTATTTTTTTATTACGAGCACATTCTATTGGAAGACGGTATAATAACAATAAAACTAGAGGAATATTTAATATTTGTTAATATTTCTTGGCTTTTTATTGTTTTCCTAAATAAGTTACTAATTTCTTCTTTCTTCGAAATTTCAGAAATCAGTCAGTCTGAAATAAAACGGTTAATGATTAACAATATTTCTTGGATTAAATACAAAGGTTATATATATTTGTTTAGAATTTAAAAAAATACAAAATTGTCAAGTAATACATAAAAGAAATGAACATTTATTTATAACTAAAAGTCATATTTAGTATTTACACTTTTAGACAGAGTTAAAAAAGGTCGGTCAACTTACTTTTAAATATGATAAATCCACTAAAAGGTGAAAACCGCCACGTCTCACAATATCGTAGTAAACAAAACAAACTACACCAGTATATAAAAGTATCTATTATTGTTTAAACAACTAAAGTCAAGGAGTGCACGATTAGTATTACTAAATAGTGACATCATTAGATTATGACAACAAATTAGTTACTAATACTATAATCGATTACCAACATTAGTAATACAAAATAAATCGATTATGCCGATCATTCATAATCGCCCACGTCTGCATACAATAAGATTCCAATCGATTTCAATGTCAAGTTCAATGTAAATTGTCTTTCACTTTGTCAATTGTCATGGACTACGTCAATCGTCAATCGATTTTGAATTTTGGAATTCATTTGGTCAATTATTGTTCTGCTTTTCAAAATAATTTTAAATTTAGTTCAATATCATAGTTTCAAGTCATCGATATTAATGAAGATTTTTTAACCATTCAGTAATTTCAGTATTGCATTTATCATTGCTGTCGTCAGAGTTTAATAAGAAAATGTCGCATCTATCAGATGTGAAAGTTCTGTTTTCTAGGTTGTGTTCTTTGAAGACTAGGTAAATTCCTTAAAATTACTAATGACTCAACTTTTCAATACTCATGATTATAATATTAAATGTGTACATAAGCTAAATATTTATTTAACGGTTGAAAATGATTGTTCAGCGCACCAACACTACGGTACGGAGTCCGAAAGTTCAGTCAGGGAGATAAACCACTACTGAAAGGCAGTGTTACACCTTTACCACCTCTATCTGAACCTATGCCAAATCTCCCTCCCGTAGTATATACAACAACTAAGTCCGAAGACACAGTAACAGAGGTTACAACTCTAAGCAATGGATTAAGAGTTGCATCAGAAAAGAAATTTGGCCAATTTTGCACTGCTGGAGGTATTATAATTTTACTTTTTGTCAGTTTTTTTTTATCTAAGTGTAAAATATTGATTGACCTTTCCTTTACAGTTGTCATAGATTCTGGCCCAAGATATGAAGTTGCATATCCAAATGGAATATGTCATTTTCTTGAAAAATTAAGTTTTGGTGTAAGTAATTTTATTTCGTAAAACAATTACAATTTATTTAAGTTTCCTAATCATTGTAAATCTTGTATGTTCAATTTTATAGGCAACACATAAATTTCCAACTCGGGATGTCATGCTCAGGGAGCTAGAAAGACATGGTGGGATATGTGATTGTCAAGGTTCACGTGACACCACAGTGTATGCTACCAGTGCTGATTCAAGAGGCTTAGAAGCTGTGACGCAGGTAAACACTTCACTTTTTTTTCAGGATTGCTACTTTGATAGAATAATCATTTACAACTTAGTGATATTTTGTCTATACAGGTGCTGGCAGAAGTCACCTTAAGACCTCAGCTTTCGGCAGAAGAAATTGAAGCTGCAAGGCAAGCTGTGGCTTTTGAATTGGAGACTCTAGCTATGAGGCCTGAACAAGAAACCATTTTAATGGATATGATACATTCAGTATGCACTTTCTGTTGAATATATATAGTTTACTTGTGAAAGAAATTATATAAGTATACAGCTAAAACACCTAAAAATAATTCAAAATCAAAACAATTGTATACTTTTACTTTCCTTCAAAACATTAATATTATAAGATAACATACGATATTTTTTTATCTTGTTAATTAAAGTTCAAAGTCTTTCATATGTCAATGCAGATTGCATTCATTGTACAATTGCTTATATGTAATATGTGTAAAATTTGAACTCATATTTTCTTATCCAGGCAGCTTATAAAGAAAACACTCTGGGACTGCCAAAAATTTGTCCTAAGGAAAATGTGAACATAATTGATCGCGGGATTATTCTCAACTTCTTAAAGAACCACTACACCCCTGAACGAATGGTAGTTGCTGCTGTTGGGGTGAGTTTGTTATAAATAATCATTCAAAAGATGATAATAGTTCCAGGGCAGATAAACCACATGAAATGCTCACCATATTAGAGAGGAACAATATTTTTAACCATTCATCATTTGTTCCTAGGAGAAAAATGTAATTTAAAGTTTTTACAAGTCTTTTATGAATATGTTTTCAATTTCAGGTAGACCACGAACCTTTTGTGGAGTATGTTCAGAAATATTTTGTAGATATGAAGCCGACATGGCACTCGCAAGATGATGATGCATTTATACCTAAGACTGACAAATCTATTGCACAATACACTGGTGGAATAGAACAGGCGAGAGCAAATACTTGGCTTGTAGCCATATTCATAAGATATTTAATATTAAACATAGTGATATGAAGTATGGTTTAATTATCTTTTCAGGAAGAATGTGAAATTCCACTATACCCTGGCTCGGACTTACCTGAATTAGCTCATGTTGTTATAGGAATTGAGAGTATGTACTTGTAAAATCTTGAAAAATTACCTCATATAACATTAATTATAATACCTATCAAGTAACACACTTAAAATTCTTCAGGCTGTTCACATGGAGATCCAGACTTTGTAGCGACCTGTGTTCTCAACATGATGATGGGTGGTGGCGGCTCATTCTCTGCAGGAGGGCCAGGCAAAGGCATGTACACTAGGCTCTATACAAATGTACTTAACAGGTAATCCAAAAATTATAACATACTCTGAGAAATCATAGAAATATAAGTATTGTCTATATTTTATGTGAGTAGAACACATTTAAATAAAACATTCTGATGGTTTAAAACGCGATTTATAGTAATTAAATTTATTTTAACTACAGTCTGATGTTATGGTATCATTGCAGTAGCCGTGCTCGGTTAAACTACCATTTGTGAAATGTATTAGTATATTATGTATAATTTATTATTTTTTACTACTCCCATTTTTTTAAAACGTAATTTTTTAAGTCCCCCCCCGTTACCACGACTCCTGCAAAGTATCCGAAATGTCGTGCTTTAGTTATAATAAATTGATGTTTTAAAACGTTAAGTGTTTTTTTTAATGTGTAATATAATAAATACAATACAATATGTGTAATGTAATATAAACATGAAACAGCACTTACATTTCGAGTAACCATTAAACCATTAAGTGTTTTATTTTACTAATAGAGAATTGTTTGTATGTAGGAAGTTTCAATTCCATTTTCAGATATCACTGGATGTTTAATGCAACTGCGTATAACCATGCTTACGGCGACACCGGCCTGTTCTGTGTCCACTCCGCTTCACCCCCAAATCGCATCTACGACACCGCCCTTGTGATTGCGCGGGAGCTTGCCAACATGGCTGGCAAAGTTGGAGAAACTGAGTTGAGGGTAGGCAACGATTCTATAAATTGATCTAGCTCTTATGCATGTATTTTATATGTTATGTAAGTCGTTAAGTTAATATAATATATAAGTACAGCTATTGATAACTCCCCAATTGTCAAATTGTACTGTAATTAACTTAAACAATTTATTATCCTTGAGTATAATAGTTTGATTTTACATTTTACTGTGTGCTGCAGTACGCCTCTGTAAATTATACGTGTACATTGCGTTGAGCGATAGATGTCCTGGGTTCGAAAACCGGGGAAACAAACAATAGATTGTTCCAGTCAGGAAGGAAACCATAGTCTGATTAACTATGTTAAGAAAACCGATCAGTGAGAGTTATGAAAAGTGTTTGCTCCATGCCCCATGGGAGGAAATGGGATTTCACTTTCACTTTTGTGGTATGTTACTACAGATACAACTTATTAAAAATATGGTGTGAATCTATTACAGAGAGCTAAGACTCAACTGCAGTCGATGCTGCTTATGAATCTCGAGGCCAGACCAGTGGTTTTCGAAGATGTCGGTCGCCAAGTACTTGCTACTGGGAAAAGGAAACCCCCTTCGTATTTTATCAGCGAAATTGGTATATTTATGCTTTATTTTTATTCTCAAAATTAATTCTTAATGGGCTATTTGACAACGCGAACATAAAGCGTCTATTACTCTTTTAATGTAATTTTAGAAATTGTAAAACAGTCACATATATGTTAAAATAATAATTGAGTTATATAAAAAACCGCAAATAAAAATTAACTTTTTTAACATTGTGACACAAAACGTCCCTGATTAGTCAAATGTTGTAAATTATAAGCTGAAGTGACGTCGTTATACTTCAGCTTATAAACAGTACTATGAACTACCACGCTTCCTAGTGTTAAAGCAGTTCTATTGTCTGCATTAATGAATGTGTTACTCATTTTATTATTTCAATCACTGTTATGTAAATGTTGGGTACAAATGCATGTAGATTGTAAATAAAATGATCGACGTAGATCACTGGCCAATATCGTGACAGCACTAGCCGTATTTTAGTTATTTCGCAAATTTAACGTTTAGACCCGCTTTTAAATTTGATATTTTTCAGCTAATATGTATTAGAATTAAAAAATACTACTTTCCTGGGGTCCCTAACATCTACCAAATAATATAAAGTACATTTTAAAACTCAAGTCATATAGCCTACTGTAATGTGATATTATTTTTGTTACAGAGAAGGTTACAGCAGACGATATAGTAAGAGTAGCACGCCGTATGTTAGGCAAGAGGGCCGCAGTTGCAGCGCGAGGCAAATTAAGTCATTTGCCAGCCTTTGATGAAATTCGGTCAAATATGGCTCTCGGTAAGAGTGATACACCTCAAGGCAGAAGATTAAATTTATTCCGTGCTTAGTTATCCAAATATTAATTTCCCAATAGTCTATAATATTACCTAGGTTAAAGTCGAGAATTTTATTTTAAAAATAAACGTTTAAAATTTTCTTTTGTTATATTTCGAGAGGATACCATGCATTGTAAAGATATAACACTTTTCAACGTTTAACATTTATTAAAAAGATAACAACTAAAAAACAAATCTCAGTCTCACCTTTAAACATCTTTGTGTCATAAATGGAAAAATTAAGAATAGTACATCACCATAATAATAATTCGGTTAAAACAATTCAAAACATTGTGCTTAATATATTCTACATACATATTAAATTGTCATTGTTACTTAGCTAACTTAACAGCCATCTTTGCTGCTTCGTCTGCGTCATTGATAATATTAAACTTAAGTCCCGATTGTTCCAAAATCGTCTTGGCCTGGGCAGCATTGGTGCCTTCTAGTCTTATGACAAGAGGATGTATTGGTGGGTTTTCCTTACAAGCGGCCACAATACCGCTAGCTACTGTTGCACAATTTACAATACCTTGAAAACAAAACAAAAATGTATGTAATGAAGTATGATCTTACATTATAATTTTTAAAGAACTAGCTGTGCCAACGCCTTCGTCCGCGTGAATTGGGGATTTTATGCAACATTTTTAAAACGTCGAAGCGAGAACTCATTGCATGAAAATGGCAAAAATGTTGACAAGTAATATCAAATTTATGTAATCACCCCAGTAGTGACGTCACAAAAGCTGCATTGGAATATGTATATTAAAACGTATTAATCTAACTTGTAAATAAATAACCTAACCAATACTACATCTAATCTACACTGATGCTATAGAAATTTAATTATATAGCCATGCGCCTCTCGGGGCCCGTTACATCACTGCGCCGACAAACTCAGCCAATTCGATGCAATTCTTTAAATTAGTATAACTTTTTTTATGTATGAACTGTTTGATATGAACCAAACACTAAACTTAAGTAGAGCTTAACAAAGTATATAACTGAAAACCTCTTCTAAATCAGATGAGTCATCTCTGGGATGAGCATGCTCAAATGCACATGCAAACAGAAGAATTCCAAAAATAATTGTTTTGGAGATTATTGCATTGATAAAGGTGTTACATAAAAGTGAAAGGCATTTTTTTTTCATTATATATCAACCATGTACAGAATACCATCTTTACTAATGAATATATTATATGTATAGATTAATATATTAAAGATGGTACTGTAAATATAAGGTAAGCCATATCAATATACAAGATTTTTTATCTGAAATAGTTGGAGATAAGTACTTACCAGCAAAAACATTAACAAATATCGCTTTTACTTTTGGATCAGACTCTAATATTCTTAGAGCAGCCGACACTTGAGACTGGCCCACTCCACCACCGAGATCAAGGAAATTTGCTGGTCTTCCACCACTCAACATAATTAGGTCCATTGTAGCCATGGCCAAACCGGCTCCGTTAACCATGCATCCTATACTTCCATCCATATCAATGTATGTCAAGTTGAGTGATGCTGCTTCTCTCTGAAAATAATATGAGCTTTATTAATGCCTGATGTTGAGTTGGGGTTTCAATTAATGCCATATAGGGTTATATTCATTAAACCATAAAAAAATATAAATTGGTTCATTGTAAAGTCCGTAAATATTTATTCAAAGGTTCTTACCGTTTCGGTAATAAATTTTATGGCTCAAGGTCGTTTTTAATAAGGTTATTATCTAAATGTCAATAGTTTTTGTGACTAGTAAGGCTTGAATTGATTACACCACCAAGCAAATTAAAATTTTTTATAGGTCAGAAGTTGAAATATGTGTTTGTGAATGGCTACAACTATAAGGTCAAAATGTTTTGCATCTGATAAAAGTCTGTTTTTGCTTATTTAAGAAAACAATGGAAACGTAATATTTAAAAGCATATGTCAGTTACTGATAAGATACTATATCATCCAAATATAAAAGTTTGATAAAATATTTGGTATCTTCTTGTGTATTAAGTGAGCATTGAATCAAGTTACATAAATGTACATATATTACATTTATTATTTTCTATTAGGGACACCAATAGGATGCCAAATAGATAGATAAACATCTAGTAATCTTACTTCTCTTGGATCTACACCGGATACATCATCAAGAGCAAATATATCTTGTTGCCTAAATTGGGCATTGTCATCAAAGTTTATCTTCGCATCAACAGCAACAACACGGCCATCATCTGTTTCCACTAGAGGATTAATCTCTAATTGCGTTGCATCAACCTGAAACATATATTATAGCTAAACATAAGGTCCATGTGGGAGAAAAGAGAAAAAGTTTTTTAGCTGATGTTAAGCAGTTAAACTAGATTAAAAATCTATTGGATTGAAATAATATGTTTTAGAACATCTTAGTCTTGTTGTACCTTTAAAAAGAGTTGCCATAATTTCTTGATTTCATCTGCACATTTATTAATCATGGCACCTTTGAACTCCAAGAATTCTGCTAGCTCCTTTGCCATAGCATCTGTTACACCTTCATGAATATCTATTGGAACAGTCTTTAATAAATGTGGTGTTTTCTCTGCCACAGCTTCGATATCCATTCCTCCAGCTGGTGAGGCTACCAGTGCTGCCCCATTATAACTTCTCTCCATAACTATACTCAAATAAGTTTCCCTTTTTATATTAACACTTTCAGCAACCATAACCTTGTCAACCAATATACCTTCCTTGGGAGTTTGTTTAGTGATTAATTTGTGGCCAATCATGTTTTTAGCTAAGGAAATTATTTGTTGTGGATCTTTGGTCAAGTGGACACCACCTTTGAACCCATTATCAAAGTGTCCTTTACCGCGGCCACCAGCCAGGATTTGCGCCTTGACAACATATTCGTCGGCTTTAAAGTCTGTCAATAATTTGGGGTCCAAACTAGAATCTATTAATCGAAAGTTTTGTATTGATACTTGGTGTTTCTTAAGCAAGTCTTTACTATGATACTCTTGAAGATTTAAATTCCTTGACGAGTTCACTTGCGGAGAATAGCGACTGGCAAGAATATTAAGCATCTTTAAGTTTTTAGTCTTTTTCAAAGCAGCCATTGTGAAATTGTGCAATTATAGTGTAATTAAGATTGTTTTTTATATGAAAACTTTAACTATTTAATGCAGAGTCCACTGTTAACCTAATGTATGTTCATATATACGATCCGTGCGTCAATGTTATAAAAACTAAAACCAATCCAAAAACTTCACGCACGCACGACAATGGTTTCACAATCAACAGATGTAAACTACTAAACTAACGAATAGAAATTAACTTGGGAATGAAACGTGCTACCTCACACAACTTTGTCTAAGTATATGACATATATGTAATATAATCACATCATAATATTACAAAATGTCAAAAATCATCTGTCAATAATAACTGATGACAACAATTACTCCTATGAACTGACAATTATCACAATAGGAGAAAGCTGGAGTTTTCAAATTATCATTACGTTGAATGTATCAGAACTTATCCCCATTAATATTAGCCAAAAATAGCCCTCTTTAATTTATACTTGAAATACAAATGGTAGAATCTATAATTTTGATATCTTAAAACACATTTAATGTGCACATCGATTATTGCAGAGAATATAATCTGTAGTATTTTAATAAAGAAAACATAACCTCAACATCAGAGTGAGATTATTATTAGTGTAAGTTATTAGTATAATTATTAATTTCTTTTGATGACTGTAAGTAAAACTGACTAAAAATATATACACAAAATATTGACATACTACAAAAATGGCAGAAAATGTTATCAAAGTTGGCGAGTACATCGTGATACAAAAACAAAATTATAAAAAAATTCATAAGTTCAACAAATCGGATTCCTCTGTAAATATTGGGAAAGATTCTGTTAATTTAAGTGCTATAGAAGGATGTCATTACTACTCTATTTTCAAAATGATACCTAAAGCTACAAAAAGAAACAAAGAATACCAGTTAGAAATAGTTAAAGAAACTGCTAGCCTGAAGGATGAAATTGGAATTAAATCATGTGGGTCAGATAATAGGAACATTTATGACGACGGCCATTCGCAAAAACTAACTGCCAATGAGATACATGATCTTAAAAGTGACTCCTCAAAAGCAGCATACATTGTTGAAACACTTATTACCAATTCAAATACATTTCATTATAAAACTGAATTTTCGCAGGATAAGTATTTAAAAAAGAAAGAGAAGAAATATTTTGAATACATCCAAATCTTAAAGCCTAATTTACGAATAATCTCAGAAACATTATATAAGCTTGAACCAACAAAGGTACAGGGTATAAGAAGTGATACATTATCGCAAATAATAACTATGGCTAATATAAGCTGTGACGGCAATCATTTACTTTATGATTCTGGGTCTAACGGACTGGTAGCTGCTGCTCTATTGAGTGCAATGGGTGAATTGTCTACTGGTAGGCTAATTCACATGCACCCTGGAAATATGTCCCAGAAACAGGCCTTATTAGCTATGAATTTCAGTTCTGAACAGTACAGTAAATGCATTTCTGTAAATGTATATTCTGTGTTACGACAATACTACCAAGGCTGTGATACTAACACCATAGAAAAAACACATGACATTTTAGAAAATACATCTACCCTTAAAAGAAAAGGTGAGACAATTGAGCAAATAGCTAAAATTCCTAAGATCGCAGAATCTGATGAGAAACCAGTTCCAATAACAGATGAGAGTGATAGACATTTATTGGAACCAAAAAAGCCCAAGTGGCATTTTGATAACATAGAAGCATCAAATGTTTTGACAGAAAAAATGGACTCGCTAGTCATAGCATGTAAAGAGGATCCACAAAATATATTTTTAGAACTATCGAAATTTGTGAAGCCCGGCAGACCATTTGTAATTTATTATAGTGTTGCAGAGCCTTTGCAAAACTTATTTGTAACTCTGAAATCTCAGAGTAATGTGGCTGCTTTGAAGCTAACTTGTAATTGGATGAGAAATTATCAGGTTTGTTTAGAAACAGTTTTATTGATTAATGGTTTTCTTTAATATGTAGCCTAGATATATATATTATATAGCTTGGCTTGATATCTCACAGAATGCTTGTGGGTTTAAGTCAATGGGTATGATTGAATTGTTCACAATCTAACATAACAATTATAAGTATAAAGATTTCAATAAAACATTCTAAAGGTTTAAAACACGAAATATAATAAACTTATTGTAACTCTGGCCCGATGTTTCCTATACTTTGCAGCAGCCGTGGTCAAGGGGAAACTAGAGATGGAGGGTGTCTAATGTCCCTCGTATTTGGACGTTATATTTCGCGTTTTAAAGTGTTTTATTTAAATGTGTACTAGTCGCGTAAATTAGGCAGTATTTAAGTATGATGATATTAAACACTTTCAAGCTGAAATGACTTGATTGTAATTGAGATCTTACAAAATATTAAATCTCATATTATTTCAGATTCTACCTGAAAGGACACATCCAGAAGTATTAATGAATGGATCAAGTGGGTTCCTGTTAACAGGATATATACTTAAGTGATACTATTTTATATTAATTAGTATAAAAAATATATATTTTCTCATAGACAAATCTCATTTATTTTAAATATTGTTAAAAGTGTTATATATTTCCATTTACTATTCTACTTGAGGGAAAATGGGTGGAATGGTCAGGAAATGATGTGGCCTGATCACCTGGCATTCTATCAGTGACCCCAAAAGAAAACAATACTATTACACATTTAACAATATACAACAAACCACGATACTAAAACTTAAAATATAAAGGCCAAAGGAAAAAGGTTTAATGAAATCTCTCTTATTTTCAATAAATAGTAATTTATTTTTAAGCAAATTAATTTCAGTGAGTGACCATATGACAAAACAACTTACAATGGAGTTGAATGCCAACACAAATCGTTCTAGCTAGTGTGAAAAACCTTGAGGAAAGTCTCGACGCATTAAGGGATATATTTATTGTCCACAATCAAGTAAATATGATAAATCTGCAACTTTATTTAAGGAATGTACTTTAAAATGCATCATTTGTTTGTTTTCACCAATAATATTCGAGGTATGTTGAGATTAAACTGAACCGAGGTGATATTTGGCACAAGTACAATCCCCATTACACTAATATTTTGAGCGTATTTAGTTAAATAAGTGGAAAACTATTTAAGGAATGAAGTGTTACTATGTCTTACGGATATCTATCGCTTTTGCTGGAAATAATGCTACAATACCTTTAATCAATAAGCGTGTGCAACAAATAATTTTAAGTGTTTATTTATATAAAGAAAATATATATTACTATGCATTACAGTAACATAAGATATAAAATATACTAAACCTATTTTAAGAAGAGAATTGTATAAATTAAGTTTGCACCAAAAGCAGATAGCAATCAGCTTGCTTAAAAAATATATTTGAAGAACAACAACGGGACGTCCGTGCCAAAATACATAATCAGTCTAAGCATTTAAATGTCAATTAATTGAAAAACCGTTCGTGGTTTTTTTAGGAACAACAGCGTTTTCCGTCGACATTTTAGTCCACCAATGCAGCTATCCGAAAATAAAGCTAGATAATACTAAAATAACTGGTTTAACAGCCACATAAATACTTACTATGGAGTGGGAACTACAGTACGAAAATAAATATAAAAAACTTCATTTGATGATCACTTACAATTGTATCTCTGGAACATTCAATATAAAGTTTATGACCCGACACCGCACGTAAAAATTGATCGAAATAGTTTTAAAATTGAACACACGTCCGGCGTCGGTCGGTAATTTTATATACTTTGGTATTTAATGTTGTTTTTATATAGCAAACCACCTGGCGGAGAAACCCACTGTGAAAATGGTAGTACCATTGTCGCAGTGCGTTAAACCTTCGTGTATCGACGTGTTTTAATTGAAGCGCAGCGCTATACGTAGCCAACATAGCGCGGAGCTAAATGAAGCCGCTACGAGTAAGACGTCCATGGGTCACGTGGCTATGAGGAGTCTTCGTCGTACCAAGTGTGCAGACCACACATTTCGTCATAATCCTCCTGTAATAGTAATAAAACAGTTATTACCTTCCATTGGTTACTAAATGACAGTATTTTTTATGATTCACTTGAGGGTAGGTAAAATAAACTGGATCCAATGTCGACCTATTATGGCAGACTGAAATCGAAATGCGATTAAACTTCACGTTTTTTTTTCAACTAAAAACGGTAGTTCGAGTTTCGTTGTAGACCCGGACGGAATTTCAACATTCCTTTACCGTCCACATTACAAGACTGAGTCCAACATGTTACAAGAAAAGTATAAATTGTTTAGGAAGATGTCGGACCTACAACCGATTATTATTTATCATTTGCCACCATCGGACAAACATTTTAGTACTCACCGACATCCAAGCGTGATCAAGAACGTCTTCAGCAGCAAAGCGCAGCTCGGGTTGAGGCCGCAGCATGTTGGCCACGAGGTCAATGGCCCCGGCCGACACGCGTTCCCAGTGCGGCGCGGGGAACTCGAGCCTTGCGGAGAGGATCGCGTCAAATAATTTCTCCTGGTCACCATCGGGCGACGAGAACGGAGGGAAACCGCAGAGCAATATGTACAGGATCACACCCGCTGCCCATACGTCAATCTAGCAAAGACAACGCATTGTAGTAATAGTTTCAAATATATTTAAATAAAACACTTTGACGGTTTAAAATGCGAAATATATAAACTTATTTTAACTACGGCCCGAGGTTTCGATTGCTTTGCACCAGCCGTGGTTACGGGGAGACTAAAGATGGACGGTGTCTATAATGGCAAATTAAAAACGAGAACCCTGGAAAAAACATGTGCCTATAATATTACAACATATACCTTTAATCCGTAGCCAGTCTCGAGTAATATCTCTGGTGCAACATAGGTCGGCGTTCCGCAAACAGCTTGCAGTGGTCGCCAAACTTCCACCGCCAAGCCAAAGTCAGCTAACTTAAGTCCGCGTATGCTTCCATCTGGGCCAACTTCCACCTAAGGCATTGGGACTGTTAGAAGTATATCTAGACAGACTTAAAATAGCATACCTGAAGGGTTACTGTACCACTGTCAAGGTATAGAAATATACTTCGTGTTTACAGTAACGAAATACATAATTTGAGAAAATCTAGTAATCGTAATTCTTGATATAGGTGTGTATCAAACAGACACACAATAAATTTAACTAAAAAGTTAACTATTTAGGGTCCAATTTTAGTTTTGGATACAGAACCCTAATATGGCCAATACGGTTTTATATGTTCTGATGAACTAACTTAGTCTAACTAACTAGAGGATGACTGATCAATGAACAAGACTAGAAGTCCTGGCTTACCAAAAGATTTTCCGGTTTGATGTCCCGGTGCACAATTGAAAGAGAATGTAAATATGCTATGGCTGATGTTAAGTGGCCTATTAGCAAACGAGACTGGGGCTCCGAAAACTTGGAAGCAGCTGCAATGCTATCAAACAAGTCTCCACCTAAAAAGGATGGAGTAGTTAAATACACAAATATTTGATTATATAGACTTCTAACAGCACTAGTCATTATGTAAATTCAAGTACATTATATAGACTATTCTAAAGCTGTTTCATCTCAGTTGGCAACAACATGGAAAGCTGTGGTAGGGTGGCGTCCCGTTTCATGAAATTATATAATTCTTTATAGATTTTGAATTCACTATCATGTGTGTGAAAAATAATGTTTTATATATGACCAAAAAGCGTTATTCTGTTCTGATTTTCCCGAAGGAGGTAGTTGATTCAATTTCTATGCCTCTTAAAATATCTTGGAGTTCATTAATATTCTGGTAAAAGTGAATATGTATCCAATAATAAGAAAACAACTTACCACTCACTAATTCCATCACAAGGAACAGCCATTCGGGACTGTCCTGCTCTTCAATGAGTGACACAATTCGAGGATGACAGAGTTTTCTCATCACCCTCACCTGTAAAAATATGAAATAAGTTTTACCTTGGTTTAACCTATTATAGTTGCACTAGGCACAAGTCTCATCTTTCATTTAAAGGACGGAGCAAGAGCTTTGACCCATGAATATTCAGTGTGGGTTAGGCTTCAACAACTACTTCAGATTAAAGAAATGTCAACAGGATTGAGTTCCTGGTAATCTCAGTCTCAGTGCTTTGCAAGGTGCTTCTCACTACCAAATTCCAGGGTCTGTTCCAAGTTTGAAGTATTAACTTTAAGGGACCCAAATATTTTATATTACCTCAGCCTCAACATAATGCTCCTTTCCTTTGCACTTAGCCTTGTCAATAACTTTGAGGGCGTAATCCTTTCCGTTCGTTTTGTCTGTGCATATTCTAACGACAGCGAAGTTACCGTCACCTGACAAGAAAACAATATTAAAAATTGGTCTCATTTATACGGTCTGTAGGCTCACTTGGAGCTACTGGATACTGACGTCTTATTTCTAGTTATCAAATAACCGTGTAGCATTTCAACGTAAATAAAATGTAAATAATTACTATTATTATTATTTTTTAAATGTTAGATTACACTTTAGAGTTAAGAATACAAGATATTCTTGTTTTGGTTGCTTACAGCAGCCATGGATAAGGTCCCTATGAGACCAAAGTATAAAAGTACTGACTACAAACAACCATTCTCAATTTTATAATATTGAATATACAATAATCTTTTCTTGATTTAAATTTTTCTTAGGATAAAATTAAATGCTAAGTAATTGATTTTCACCTATTATTTTTCCAACATTATATTTGAGCCGTAAAGGCTGGGGCAGCAAGTTGGCTAGTTGGGTCTGTTCGTTGTCTCCAGCTGCACCAGTAGTTTCGTTCTCTTTCCGCGCTGCACCACTCGCTTTCACTGGCATTCGAGGTTTTGGTCCTGTCCTGCTCAGGCAATACAAAAAAATAGAGTGGTGGAAGGTGAAGTACATATTGTAGCTTTGTTTTACAGTGTAGTAATGTTTAAAAAACTGACATTACTTTTTTGAGCAGACACGCCTGCTAGACTGAGAGAATTTATAGTGTTTTCCCAGATTACAGTTTCAGTCAAGTCGCTTACAAATGCATATTGACGCAATTGAATAACTATTCAAATACGAATATCGTGAATTTAAACTCTAAAGCTCGTTTTACGTTAAAAACAAGTAGATATTGAATTGGGCTATAATTTTCGTAGCAAGTCTTACATCATAATTAGGACAAGCAAAATGGACACCACATTATGTAAATTTTTGTGTACACGCCTATACATTTTTGTAACACAGAAAGTAGGTCAGATAACATCATTAGCCCAGGCTATCTAGATGACTAGATCAATTAGTTGTATAGTTAATCATCAATTTTTAAGTAATTTCTGCCGAAATAACTTAAAGAATGTTTTCTACTACTTGTAGTAATTTAAAAAAACGGTTTAAAACGCGAAATATATTAGTTAAATTATATACTACACTACGTTTCGTTAGCTTTGCAACTGTCGTGGTCCACGCAATATTTTCCGCATTTTAACCCGTTAAGTGTTTTCTTAAATATTAATCTTTTGATTTACCGTGAGTTCCTCGTTATGGGAGTCTTTCTGCATTGTAAAACAGCTTTGCTTTCTTCAAATTCTAATTCGAAATCTTCTTGGTTGACTCTGTAACAAAAAATTGTAGCAGGAAATAATAAACGGATATTGTTATGACAGGAAATTGATCGTTAAACGAAATTTAATTACTTTTGACGAATTTTTTATAACTCCTTCAGGCAAGTCATGACTCTTATTTTGAAAGCCATAGGTATCAAAATGCAATATGCAAGATCAGGTAAAATTCTAATTAATTGTAAGTACATGCGTCAGGGAGTACAAGAAACATAACTCTTTACTATATAATTGCAAAATAAATTTGTATGCGATAAATTGAACCCTCTTACCCCCAATTGGGCAGACACATTTTTATGTTTGTTTCACTATTTACTACAACATTTGGTTTAAGCTATATTTATAACTATGACAGTAGTTTCTTTTTCGTTCTTGTCTAATAATCAACGGGTCGTGGATTCTATACCTACTGGGTCCAACATTTTTAGAATTAATTTATCATTTTTCTGAAACATGTATTTCTTCTGGACATCTGGATATTAAATGAGGGACAGGAATATCGAAATATTACTCGCGTCACAAACCACTGTCTACAGATGGAAAAATAGTCTGTGGATTTCTGAATATCCAAAGCCTAAAGCGGTCGACAGCGAATATTGTTTAGATGCTTGTCTGTCCTACTCTATTGTAAACAAATTACCTCTCGTTTCCATAGGCGAAGAACACATCGTCTTCATCAAAAAACTGGTGCAGTGCTGTGACGGGCGAACCAGACTGCGTGAAGACTTTGCGCACGCAGCCCGTGTCAAGTTTTATGCACTCGGTGATAGCAGCTAAGGCGTGCTCTAGAGTTGGACTATTGCGTTTATTCAATAGCAATCTGCACACCTTTGAAAAAAAAAACAATAAAAAAATTTGGTATAAAATTACCACCTATATATAACATATTATGTACATTTTTTTTTATATTAATAAAGAGTATATAAAATTAGAAAATAAAGAGTGTGAGATACTAAAAATGTATGGCGTGGACTGATCCAGCCTTTTATAGGTGTCCCCGATAGAAAATAAATAATAATTATACAAAAAATTTAATATAAGAATCTGTAAAAACCATTTTCCTATAATATGTTACTTATGATGAGGAGATTGTGCTTACTTATTATGTGGGATCATGTTTTACTGATTGATTTTGTGTATAAGTGTTGCTAACCAAAGCTATTATATATCTCAAAGATTCAAGCCGAGAACATCTAACGCAATTTGCCGCAGTAATAATAAAAACTACAAAATTTTAAAGACTTCTTAAAATGAGGTGGCAGGTTTTAATAAGCACTGTCCAGATATGTAGTCTCTGGCGGGACATCCCAGATTTTTAAAAAATAAATTTTTCTTTTTTTAGACACATGTAAAAATTCTTTACTAATTTACCTTGCGTGGTTTGACGCCGTTCCTTATAATCGTAACAATACGTGGTCGAACAACATTGTCTCCAGCGGGGCTAACTCTAGGTGATCCATTACCAGTTGTACTGTTGCCATTTGTCTATTAAACATGTTATAATTTTTAAAAGAATCTTATAAGAATATACTTCACCAACTTATAATATTAAAATTATTAATATATTATAATTATTATCTTAAAAAATGTAAATATAGCAATATTCAAGTACTCAACTCATTAATACATAAATTATAACACATCTACACAGTAACCATTATAAATCTGTGTACATGAGTTCAACGACCACCAATCAAATGTGTTAAATTGTTAACAAGAATGTTAATTGATCTAATGACTACATGAATGATTGTTAGCTGTAATAATTACCTGTAAATATCGGGATAATCTGTTGTTCGCTCGAGCAGGGGAGGGACTTGCACTGTCACTTAGGGACTCTGGTCCACTTAATCTAAAGGATTGAGGGGTCACTGCACTCGCTTCATAATCCAATCTTTTAAATGGTTCTCCAAATCCACTACAGACATAAGATTGGCCATCTTCTAAGTCATCTAGTTTTCCTATCTGTAAGTACAATATGATGAATATGGTCTTCAGATTGGAATAAGAAGAATGAATTGTGGAAAGAAACTTACTTTTCTACCTTCTAGTGAATATATGGTTCTAACACCACTAGGCAATGTAACATTGTCGACCAACACCCTTGTCAAATCAGCAGTCAAACTATCAAAAGACCTGAAGGAAAGTAATTTGAAGTTAATCAATTATTAAGAATTGTCTTAGATTTTAATATGCATTTAAAGCAAGGTTTTTAAGTTTAAAGTCTAACATAACAAAGATACTAATTAGAAAAACTTCACTTAACAATTAGAGGAAAAAGCAACATGCTTTCCAATAGTTGTTAATAGTTCCAATTGTTAATATTTTACTCATATAGCTTTTTAGTCTAACTTTTCGAAAACCGTAAAACCCAAATTTCGGTTTTATGGAAGGTGAAAGTTTAGACACTTAAAAATTAGCATATTTTTCATATTACCTGTATCTCTCTGGTAGAACTGGTATTATAACACCGGAGTAAAATTTGTCTCCGTTTCGAAAAAATCTGATCCTTTTTGCCTTTCGTGCGGGTTGTGTTCTAACAATTACATTGCGACGATTTGTCCTAGATTTTATAATTTCCATATCACTGATATCCTTTTCGAGTTCGCATACCGAGCTGGAGTGGCTTCCACTACGGCTTAAATTGTTCTCCATCCTGGAAAGTAACATTTAGCATTGTATTACGAAAGAATAATTTCGATACCGATAACGGACGATTTAACACAACCACAATCCTATTGACCTCACCTACCTTTTACTTTTTCCTAATGAACCAAAGTCTTTCAACCTTTAAAGTCTAAAACATCCTTGAAGTTATGACCATTTTATGTGTTTAACGGAAACCGTAGTTATCACTTTAAAAAATTAAACAAATTGAAACAATATTGTATTTCTGAAACACGGAAATCTGCGGAAATCTCAAATCAGCGCATTTCACAGATAATAAAAAAAAAACTGCATCTCCTAACCCAGATGTTGTCAACAGACTGCTAACGGTAAAGGTGATCATACAAAAAAAGTAAAAGAAGCGAACAATAACATTTTTTAGTAAATAAATTTATAAGAATCATAGAAACTTTTTAACCTCTAACATGACAAATGTTTTATTTATTTAATGTAATATGATATAATGTAATCTTTTGAAGTGATTCAGCACTTATATATGGCAACAATAATAGGAGTTCGAGCAGATGACGCATTAATTTTTTCTATCAATCTGTCAAAAATACCTTCAGTTTAGATTATCACAGACAAAGAGAGTAGAAAATTTGTTTTTATTTAACGAGAATTCGTGAAAATTTCTGTGCACGATGTCTTCAAGAAAAAAGGTTCTTTTGAAGGTAATAATTCTGGGTGACAGCGGCGTTGGAAAAACTTCCCTCATGAATCAGTTTGTCAACAAGAAATTTTCCAATCAGTACAAGGCTACTATAGGCGCAGATTTTCTCACGAAAGAGGTAATTGTGGATGATCGCATTGTCACAATGCAAATTTGGGATACTGCGGGTCAAGAACGTTTCCAGTCTTTGGGAGTTGCGTTCTACCGTGGGGCGGATTGCTGCGTATTAGTTTTTGACGTAACGGCCCCGAATACGTTCAAGTCCTTGGAGAGTTGGCGAGATGAGTTCTTGATACAAGCGTCGCCTCGTGACCCTGACAACTTCCCCTTCGTGATTCTAGGTAATAAAGTGGACTTGGATAACCGCGCTGTGTCCGCCAAACGAGCCCAGCAATGGTGTCAGAGCAAAAATGATATCCCCTACTTTGAAACCAGTGCCAAAGAAGCAGTTAATGTAGAATTAGCTTTCCAAACTATAGCTCGCAATGCGCTGGCACAGGAAACAGAAGCTGAACTGTATAACGAGTTTCCAGACCAGATCAAGCTGAATGCTAATGATAACAATCGCAACAGAGATGGCGACAACTGTGCTTGCTAGACTCTAATAAACACATCATTAATAGCAATACATAAGTGTCCCACTATTTTATATAAACTGATACAATAAAGTATAATTATTTTAATCATAAGCAATTACTACATCAATACTTGTAACATCATGTAAAAATGTACAGGAATGGTAGACATTTTTGTAGTTAAATATTAGATATGCACTTGCATACAATGTTTAAGGATCTTGCACCAGTTGCTGAAAATGATTTATTATTCACTGCTTTTCCATTTACTTGGATTCAAAAATTATTGTTCTTGCATTCATTCATTTGCAATCTATTTGTTATGCATTTTGTCTTTGTTTATTACCCAGTACATTACTATTATTGTCCTCCAAATACTTTATAGAGAATGTGATTATGCTTATATATTTGTAACACTAGAACATATTCTTTGTATTAAGTCTGAGTCTCACCAAGTGATTTGAGTATTCAAATTCTATCTACTTTTAATACACTTTGCTAGAATCAAAGGATCTTGTATGTGGTTCTTCGTACGAGTTTGCTTTAAATTGTTTGTCAATCAGAATATTTAATATTTCTGTATATAATTGAATTTTATAACATTAGCTATAAGTAGTTAATAATGTAGAGCTATTGAGAGCATTACTCAGCATTTTTATAACTCATAATTTGATTAAAAGGCACTATAGGTTGAATTATAACTTATTTTATTAAGATTCGTAATAAGGTTACAACATGGAGAATGTTCCATTAAATTTAAAATTTGAGTGTTAGATATGCTAAACTTTAACACCGTCACAGCATCGGCCTTTAGTTAAGACTGTGAATGTTAATTTAACTTGGATTTTTTAAAAATTTATTGGAGAATACACCTGGGAAGGTTTGTTTGTTACATAAATCGATTTGGGCCGCTTTTAGTGTATCATCTAGTTGAAAATGTAAACATTAAAAATATGACTTATTTTATTTATGGCAAATATGACATACGCTGTAATAATGTTTGCTTTTAATTTTATATCAATAAATTTTAGAGAGTACTTTTGTTTTTAATTTTGAGTATATATAAAAGTTATATGGATCTGTGGTTGTATTTATTGTTTGTGTGTTCATGTGTTAAATATAGAACAAATCTCATTATACATACTTAATTCGCATCGACTTTAAGTTTGTGGCGTAATACTATATACCTAGATACTTAAGAAAATAAATTGAAGGTTACGTTAGGTAAGTATATACTTTCATCTTCATTACTTGATTTACATGCCATATCAGATTATAAACGTAGTAATTCCGAATTTTAGTAATAAAATAATGAATCATTGAATAGATAATAATTTTGTTAACAAAGACTATTTTTATCTGTATTAACATTTTATTAGTGGTTTTACGCATTAATTAATTTCGCGCCGTTACAAGTAACAAAGGAAAAATTATTTATCACAAGAGTAATATGAAAAAACATACATACATATATCCATAAGTAATGAGTTTTGTAATTACAAATAACTATTTTATTTTCAATACCATGGATATAACTATGATATTAACTATTTGTCGGAATTCGCAAAACCTTTGGAATCAATACACGGTTTTAACACAAACGAAGTCTTGGGTTTGAGCTAACACAAATAATAGTTAGAATAGTTATTTACATATTTATATTCTATAAACTAACATAATATTAATCTCAGGACGAGTTTTGTATCAATTAATGTATAATGAGATTACGTTATTAGTGATGTATAAAGCTATTATAGTCTAGTTCTATATACCTACATCTATCATAAAAGTTTGTTTTCATACTTCAATAATGCTTCTTCAAGTGTGTCACAGATGGCGCTAGTTCCGTAATTTTGTCAATAGCAATGATCTAAGAGTGGTAGAAATTTATATAATAATTAATTAATGTTTCTAAACCATTTATATTTTCCTGAAACGTGTTGTGCTTCGTCTGGAAATCTGGATATTAAATTGGTGGTAGGAATATCGAAATTCTGTCCGGTTCACGCACCACCGTCCACAATCAGAAAACAGTAAAGTTTATTCGCATTCCGTGTAAGTATGGGTTCCGAATATCCAAAGGCATAAGGTCGACAACGCATGTCGTTTTGATGTTAAATGGTTAGGGTACTTTACCGCCTACCATCGATCGGTAAGTTGAGTTTTGCACTAAAAATAGGTATACATTTCTCTATTATCTTTTAGTCATTCTCTTATTTAGTATGTAAATAACTATTCGCTTATCGTTAATTACAATTAAAATTGTCTATTTCAACTCATATCTACCACTAAATGAGGTTTAACAATTTGGACCATTTTACTAACTGTAATTTTAGGGTGGTTTTCGGCATTGTAGTTTTAGGTAACTGGTATTTTAGGTGTATTACTAGTGTTTTAACTGTAATTTTAGGGTGGTTTTGGGTATTGTAGTGTTACACCCAATCCTAACCATTTATAAGATACACTCAAGTTAACAAGACATTCAAACTATGCAAAAGTTTGGTCTGCACGTTGAATAATATTATGTGTATGAAAATATACCAACACGAACGTAATCATCGCTCGTATTTCATCGCAGCCATTCATTAGTACGTAAACAATATGATTCAGAAGAAAAAGGACTTTTCAGCGGGCGCATGCGGGGCTTGAGGAAGTTGGGGCGAGGGGCTCCGCTGTTTCAGGCAGCCGTCACCTCGTTCAGTCTCGCTTGTGACATGAAAGGGCGCGATCCAACACACGCATCACGGTGCTCCGAGAAATGCATCACCATGAACAGCCTCCTTCGATTGCATGTAATGGTACGTCAGCTTTGAATAACCTATTTCTATCGAAAATAACATCGGCGAGACGAACCTTCGATCACGAAATTTTTGTTTAGCGTGGTAACACTCTAATGTAATTTTTATTTCATGGTTACATTTTATGGTGTACTAGCAATTTCTAGGCTATATACACGTTAAAGATCGATATTTTTGCCTTTACCTACATTTATACAAGACACATGTTATGTAGATGTTTATTTCAGAATTTACAAATGGTTAAATTTAATTAGTGAATTGTGTATGGCTTTTAATAGCTAGCTTAAACATATGATGACTTAAAGGCTTGACTTAAAGAGAAAATTCGTAGAGGTCGTAGACGCCCGTAGCATCTACGAATAAGGATTTGTCACGCGTGACCTTGCACGTTGCACTTGGCGGCGCGTTGTTAAAATCCTTTTGTCGGCAATAAAAACATTCAGTTACACCACGGTGCGCTATAGTTATTCATAGTAACATATACACATCGATGAACGAAACCAGTAAGTATTAAATTAATTTATGATAAATATGTTTTAAAGTAAGTTATTATCATAAAACATCTTTGTCTGGGAAATATTTTTCTCGTATTCGATCTCACTATTTGTTATAATTATTTATTTCCTAATTAAAATATTAATATTTTTTTAATATAAACATAACTCATTGCAATTATTATAAAGGGATTTTCCCTAAAGGAAAGCCAACGAACAATAAAAAAAATGATATTTTGGACGGCTCCTGCGTTCAAAAGGTCACGCAAGGTCAGGGATGCGAAAATTTTCAAAGGAAACCTTAGACGGGTTCAGGACTTTTCAGTTTATTAATTAAAATACAACGATAAGACTACGATGCATTACAGTACCGAGTACAGTACTATTAAGTTCTATAAATATTTATCGCGTGCAATAAGCGTAATTGAAGCGGTCGATTAAAGAAAACTTTATTGTTCTAATAAACAGCTTATTATAGATAGATGTTATATATAAATGGAATTAAAAAAACTTTGACTTTTGAAGGTTTTCTGCAAAATAAAACATTTCTTCCTCATGCCTCATTTCTTCGACATTTCTTGCGCCGGTAAAATGGTTGGCCTATTAAATAAAACACTTTAGCGGTTTAAAACGCGATATGTACGGGATATATAGGAGTCACGGGGAGATCAGTCTCCCCGTGACCACGGCTGCTGCAAAGCATCCGAAACGTCGGGTCATAGTGAAAATAGTCTTGAAATAAGTTTATCTAATTTATATCGCGTTTTAAACTGTTAAAGTGTCCGCGTAAATTACAGACAGTACCGTACCATTTCAAGATACTTTCTTATATAGATATAATATTATTATACATAATTTGTCGAAATGATAGGTATAGTTTTCGTTCAGCATCTAAACGGCATTTATATCAAAGGGCATAGCCTTGCTCTTTATTATAAACAGAGAAATAGATTATTAAATGACATTTTACTTTCTGGTCCAATGGTTATAGTCATTACCTAACATTATGTTAAGTGCCAGTTGTTTTGAAGAAACATAAAAAATATCATGATCCAGTCCAAACAATAAATAGGAAGACATAAGTCCCGTGTATTTGAAGCTATTTTTACGTAAGTGCCATTTTGTTTGAAGTAATAAATAAAAAATGGCGACTCACGCCTAATCAGTTGGATTGAATATTGAGGTCTCTGTTCACTTACTCTTTATTGGTCTGCCATCGTCAATCAATGAAATGTTTTGGGTTCGACCGAGACGACCGAATTTGGTATTTAATTTAACTTATATTATAATATTTATAATAATTGTAATATTATATTCACAGTCGTGTGGTAAAGAACTTACTTATTATATCTGTCAGGTGGAATCATTTATCCTTAAACAAAAAATACATAAGTTAAAGTTAATTTTATTTAATTTTTTAATGCTAGGAAAGTTAATGTAATTAATTCTCATTGTAAAATGGACCCCGGTTTGAATAACTGTAAAAAAACTGTTTTTGACTGCGTTTGTCTTACAATAAAAGTACTTCGTAAAATAGCATTTAAAAACTCAATAGAGATATCGTGTCGATGTATTTTAATCTTTCACTTGTTTCGTTTTGTGAAACAATAGGCGATTGATAATTCTCGTATAAGTGTTGTGTAGTTGTGTGTAACATTTTTAACATTATGGTGTAGTATCACACTTCAAGTTACATCGCGAACTTGATCACCTATGTACCTATAAGACTTACTCATAGTGCTGGGATTTTGCATACACAGTTTAACTTTGAGTACAGGAAAATGTCTATAAATAAATGTGTTTATAATGTATTACTCTTTGACATACATTAAAAAATATTAAAGTTAGAATATACGTTTTGAGGAAATAAAATATAGTTATGTATATAAGTACCTATGTTTGCATAAATATTTAAGTCCGTTGACTCCTTTAAAAGTTTCAGCCTAACTTATTGTGACATAAAGTAAAAACTTCGTTATTTAAGCAAAACTTAATCTGGTAACTGAAACAGAAGGAAGCCTAAGAAGAAAATATGTTATTTCGACGAGTGGCACACATAAACAAAGCAAAATTTAACCGTATAGAACGCGAACTACTTTCAATAACGAATCATTTTAAACTGTGCCCTAACACGTCATGGTATCACCAGTTTCCCTACATTTTGCCCTAATATAAAATGTGTTACTACACCTAATCAAGACATTTGTCGGCCAACATGTGACACATCATTTTCCTGATCACGTATAATAAAGTCGGAAATTATATTAACTCTAAATCCAATACAATGGATAAGATTATTAAGGGCTTAAAAATGTTATCTCTTATCAAACAATCACTATGTCCTTGGATTTTAAAGCCATCATAGTGGGACGCTAAAAGGTGTTATATGTTTCCTATTAAGAAATTTAATTAACAACTTATAGAGAACGTAATTAAACGTGTAGTGGTGTGAAAACTTTTTCTTTTAATCTGCAAACTATAATTTACAATCGAAGATAATTTTGTATCATTTGACGCATGCGTTGAAAATATTGATTGAAACAGGCTCTCCTTTGACGGCCATTTTTTTTTATTCTAGCCCAATACTAATAAAAGCTAGGAAATACCTTCTAGAACAGGGACGTCTTATGCATTAGATCATATAGCTAGTATGGCGAAGCGTTAATTGGCTCTGATATTAAAATAGACTACAGTGTATCAATTGTCGGAAAAATTTGTCTCAATTACTTCGCACACAATACGTTTGATAATTTAATGAGTTCACGTTGGAAGTGTGAAGGAGTAATTAGACCTACATACTAGAAACCTGGATTTCGTACATATTTAATAGTAAATACGAATTACATAGTTAGTATCAAGTACAATATTATAAAGCAATAAAAATATAAAACGGATGTTTAGCATAGAATATAGATATTCAAAGAAATATTTCTAAATACTGTCTGTAGTTTACGCGAGTAGTTCACATTTAAATTAAACACTTTAACGTATTAAAACGCGCTCCCCGTGACCATGGCTGCTGCACTTAGTTATAATATTTTTCAAATAAGTTTAACTAATATATGTCGCGATTTAAACCGTTAATGTAGTAGTTCTGTCCGTTTATGAGTGTATAATGAAGTTTTCATCATTAATCTTAATGTAACATATCGGTCTCATTCAATTATGTATGTAATATATATTTATGATGCCAAAGAAACATACGTACGCGGCGGAAATAAAATGAATGAAGTGAAATGAAATGAAATGAAGTTTTTATTTCGGCCGCGGCTAAAAATTAATAATAATATTTAAAAAATAATTTTAATAAACTTTAAAGAAATTACCGTAAAGAAATAATAAGTTGCCGATATCACTTTATGCAGACAATGTTACCTTTTTGTCTGCTTATCCCCTGGACATTTTTACTACTTCTATAAAATCTAATAACTGAAATGTAATTCGGCGTTTCAGTTTAGTTCAGTTTCAGTCCGTTGTTTTTCGAATATCGAAAACCAAAATATATCTGACTGGGTTACATCACTTTTCATCAAGTGTCTTTGCTTGCTTGTCTTGTCTGTGCTTCCCTGTCATAAAAAATACTAATGCTGGTATTGGCTTCAATTTCACCGTAAAAAAGGGAAACATTTGTGTTCAATCCTTACTAATATTATAAATGCGAAAGTAACTCAGTCTGTCTGTCTATCTGTTACTCTTTCACGTCAAAACTACTGTACATATTTAAATGAAATTTGGTACACAAATGGTCTAGACCCTGAGAAAGAACATAGGCTTTCTATTGCGAATAGGGGGTTGTAAGAGGTTAAAAGGGGGGTGAAAGTTTGTATGGAAATTCGTGGTTTTTGAAACTAGAACAATGATACTTTCTTCTTGGCTTTTTGGGAATAGGAGTGGGAGTTAGAGTAGGAGTGATGTGAGGTGAGAGTGTTGCGGCAAAGTAGCACTTACAACATAGATTATGCTGCGATAAATGCGCAATTACATTTGGTCTTTTAATAGACAGTAAACTTAATTGGAGACTACACGTGGAAAAGATCTGCAGCAAGTTGAGGGCTATTCTGTCCAACTTTGCGGTGCTCAAATATAGGCTCCCCTTTTCTACACTGAAGCTTTTGTACAACGCCCTAGCGGACTCAGTTATCGGATACGGGCTTAGTAGCTATGGACGAACATTTAAATCTGTTTTACAAGACATATATTTGCTACAGGTCCGTATCCTCAAAGCAATAGTACCAAGATCGGTTAGGGCGAAGTACATAGGAAGCGAGGGGGGTTTGTTTGAGTACTGCAAGGTAATGAACGTTTTCAATAAAGTGAAATATTTTATTCTTTGTGAAGAAATTGAAAACGTTCAGTCGCTCAAGTATTGAACTAGACCTGAAAACTTAAGGAAACTTGCTTATATACCCAGGTATGAAATGCCGCTAACGAGCAATTCGTACGGCAAACGTACCTGGCAGTACATGTTACCTCTGTACTTGAACGACTTGGACAGTAATACGCACG